CCCGCAGCACGCGGAACGGAGTCCTGATAGTCGTGAATAGTGCGTAGAAACCCTCTATAGAAAACGACCTCTCTAAAAACCTAAATTAAGACGTTTCAACTAATCTGAGATGTTGAAGCTATTGTTCTTAAGCTCTTCATCCACGATTTTAGTGGACAGAGCAAACCAGCTTTGAAGTATCAGTAACTTTGAAGAAACCAGGATACTTTTACTATAATTTATAACTGAAGAAAGAACTGACTGTCATTGCAACAGAAAGAATGAAATCTGTGACAAAATACACCTGACGGAAGATTAAGCACGTTGTTAAGCCGTAAGGGTCACTGATCAGAAGAGATAGAATGTATGGAAGCACCGACCCAAGCTTACGATGCTCAGTTTTTATATAAGTGCTGTGGTGGCACTGTACGATCTCGGTTAGGACTCCGTCCAGCGTGCTGCGAAACCCAAGCCTACGATGCTCGTTTCAATACGTGCTGAAATGGGTGAGTGAGTGTCAGGAGTGTGTTAAGATACTGCACAGTCTTCAGTCACAGTATACAATCATTATCAGTAAAATTTGTCATTTTAACATATAAGAATGCACGGAATGATGTATGCCCGAAACTCGTTTGAGGAATACAACTTTTGAAACTCAGATTACAAGCCCGGGGGGTTACTCAACAAAAGTCAGTTGATATGGGGAGGCTCCGCCCCGAGGTCCAACCCCTTACCCTTTTACATACCATTTTTCAAGAAAAGGTACTCCATTTGTATACCTTCTACTGACAAATGGTACCCCTTTCACATACCTTGTTTAGAACTTTGCATCCTTTTAACTGCTGTAAATGCACTGTCTTTTAAATAGGAAACAATCACAAAAAAAGAACGTTTTCTCGACTTAGCCCTATTGGGCCCCTTAACAGACCCAAATGACAGATTTCTCTTCCCTTTTATATACTTCAACTGGTAAAATCCCTACCCTTTCTTATACCTGAAGCCTGAAAATGGTACCCATTTCGGGCGGAGCCTCTCCGTAAAGGCCATCATAGAGAGTACCCTCCACAGGGATTACAAGAGATTACAACACAAACACAGGGTACGTCAATGCTCTCCTAACATCCATGGTGATCCCAGAATTGAGCAGTATTACTACTGTATATGCCACTCACAGCTAGGGTACAGCATTTGAAACACTCTTGGCACTGAACTACAACTCATTCATTTTAACGGTGGCAATTATTGGTGTGGGTATCTACAGCATTGAGGCTGGGGGATATAAAGTATTTGATTCTCATGCTAGAGAACATTGTAGTAGATCAAATGTTAATAGTTACCAATGTTCCTGTAAACAGTGCTGCCTTATAGCACTTTATGCAATGTGTTACTCTCTTATAATCCTTGTGGACACTGGACTTAAGGAAATTTATTGGCCCTTGTTAGTAACCGGAATACTGTACAATGTGATGGGTGTGACTCAAAGTGTCAGTATCAGTGGAGCTGACATAAACCTTACTCTTCGGGCTATAACCACTTATGTCCTATGTTGCAATTTGGCTCCAAGCATGTCGGCATTGAAAATGTGCATATTTTGATTTTTCAGACATTGTCGTGACATGACAGGATTTTTGTTGTGGATTGGGAAATGCTGTATAAGCTGTGTGGCTCAGCAAACAAGTAGAGTAAAACATTTATCTTCTCTGGTAAGATATGATGACAGTTGTTTAGATGCAATAAGGCATGTTCAAAGTATCACACGCGTAAAACTACCACGCCCAAATATACGCTCCCACAGCGTCTTGTTGTACTTGTTTTGTTGACATAAAGACCAGAAAAAAGGAATAAAGCCTTGTCAAGTCGGCATCAGTGGAATCGTTGATTGTTCATTGAAATTTTTTGCAACTATAGAACCCTAAGTCACTCGGCCGCCATACATTCTATCTCTTCTGATCATGCACTGACCTTTACGGCTTAACAACGAGCTTAATCTTCTGTCAGGTGTATTTTGTCACAGATTTCATTCTTCCTGTTGCAATGACAGTCAGTTTTTTCTTCAGTTATAAATTTAGTAAAAGTATCCTCGTTTCTTCAAAGTTACCGATACTTCAAAGCTGGTTTGCTCTGTCAACTAAAATCTTGGATCAAGAGCTTCAGAACAATAGCTTCAACACTCTCAGATTAGTTGAAACGTCTTAATTTAGGTTTTTAGAGAGGTCGTTTTTTATAGAGGGTTCCTACGCACTATTCACGACTATCAAAATAAAATAATATGACAAATAACGAAATCCCATTTAACATTAGGGTGGAGGTCGTGTTTGAAACGGCATATTCCAGAAATATTTCTGGCTCGCGACTTGCTGAGTTTAATCTAAAATCAAATGAAAGCAATTTTTTTCGTAGTTGCTACGTCTACTGACTAACCTGCAAGCAAGCTCTCCATTTACGGCAAGCAATACCAGCCATGAGAGAACGCAAGAGTTTGCGTGGATTTCCACTGTCGCGTAATTTTTACATGCGTAAAATTTGCGTTCGTAAATGAAATAGAGGCAATGTATGGAAGGTCGTGCGTAAACGTAAAAGTTCAACCCCGCTTAACCCCACGTTTAAGGGTGACACTTCATACCTTGTCTCTATTTTATTTACGCGAGTAAAAATCACGCGACAGTGGAAATCCACCCTTTATAGACTTAATAGCGGCAATGCCTTTCGCACTCGCGTTTCTTTTCGTTGATGGACAATGTTGATATTGCCCATTAATGATACGCGATATGCGAATGTACCATTCACCCATCAAGCTGTAGAAACTCTTTGTAATCTGTCGGTCCCCAACGAGAGCGACCAGTATCAAAACGAAAATTGCCACAGCTCGATCTTTTCTTACGTTCTCATTGTTAATACTGAATGTTCATTAAAACCCGTTTCTTCTCCTTTCCCCCTTGAACGCCTGTGTAGCAAAAAAAGAAAAGAATCAGGTCTTCTAGAACGTATATATTTTCCTGGTCTCAAAAGTTGGCTCGGCGGCCACAGGCAAAAGTTTATCTTAGAAATTAAACGCAGGACGCAAATACCATGTTTCGTCATGTTTCCAGCTCTCTGACACGATTCTTGGCTTGCACGTGACGTCAGAGATGTTTCCATATTTGGGTATCCGCCATGTTGGTGTTCCACCGTGGGTGAAATTTACAAGTCATATGTTTATATGCCATCGCTGTGCAGTTATTACTCAAAATTACAATGGATTCTTCGGAAAAGGAACGTGTTCCTTCAATAAATGAGCTTTGCAGTAAAATTCCAATATTATCTGAGTATTGCAGAAAACTAGAAGACCACGTAAAACGAAGATATCTAGAAAAAAATCGCCGATGTTGGAGTGGATCCGGTCACTATTCCCGATGAACAGTTTAACTCTGAGTGCCTTCCTCCGATCGAAACCACGGATTTGCTAAGCTACCTGGTTCTGGAAACGAGTTTTTATACCAAACAGCAGTTTAAGACATACAAGAGTTTGGAGGCCTACAACTTCATGGTCTCAGGATTCATTACGAGTATTCAAGGTTGCATTGTCTCCGGAAAGCACGTTGTCGCGTGAAAAGTGAGACATTCGCAGTGTAAAATGGGGTTGACAGGCCTACACGACTCCCCAGCGCGTGTTTAAAATAGCCTATTTATAGTTTGGCTCTCACGAGTATGTCTATGAGCGACCGCCCTCTTGTAAGATACGAGGAGCGGTTTTGGCAAGTATTAAGAGGGAAAAAAATATATATATTTTCTTTTGTCAACTGACGTCTCTGCTTTCTAGAATACCTATACCCACGAGTTCCCCATCGTCATACTGTGACTTTTTTTATCTTGGATTTCAACCAACGAATTTATCGTGATGTTAAGGCGTGTACGCATTAGCCAGTTCCAGGCTCTTAGATAGTGAGGAAGACGCGAAAGTGTTTCCTCCCGTTTTTTTTGCGTGTACGCGCTTTCTCAATTCAGCGGACCCAACTATCTCGGAGCCTGGAACAGGCTACGTACGCATGGAAGCCGGGAAGGAGTCACCTTGTGTGAACATAAATTGAAGAGCTGCCCCAGGTTGTTCAAAGGGTGGATAGCGCTATCCACCGGATAAATCGCTATCCAGTAGATAAATAGTACAAAGACAAATTGCATTATCTACTGGATAGTGATTTATCCAGTGGATAGCGCTAGAAGCCACCTTTTGAACCAGACTGGCCCCTGCTGGTCAGTACCTTAACTGGTGAAAAGGTTCTTTTGTAAGGTAAGCTAGAAGGGACGCGCAAATGGGGAAATGAAAAGGGGGGGCTGTTTACAGACTAGTTAACCTGAATTAGTAAAATCCAACTAGCGGTCTATTATCAATGCTGCGTTCTGATTGGTTGAGCTTCTACTAGGCTATATGTTATAGCCCACTAGTAGCGAAAAGCGCCGGATTTTTGGCAGCAAAAAAGGATTTAAGTCTTGCTTTAAGTTGTTTTGTCTCGTTATTTTTGACCAACTAGTTGGATTTTGCTAAAACAATAATTATTATTCTTCTCGCCCTCATGGCCTCTGAGTCAATAGCCCATGAGGCCAAAGGCCGATAGCCCTCATGGGCTATTGACTGAGAGCCCATTCGGGCTCCAGGAATAATTTTTAATTATTATTCTGAATTCAACTCATGGAATGACACAAAACGTAAAATAAATCAAACATTTTATTTCACCTATTTTTCCAAAAAAAAGGCAAACAAAAGAATTTATTCATTTATTGTAAAAAATTATCCTCGCATAGGCAACGATACGCGTGTGCATGTATTGCTACTGACCTCTATACATGGCTTAAAAAAATATACAAGTCAATATTCTTTCTTCACGAATAAATATAAAGCTTTCCGCAAATTCTCGTGCGCAGTGTGATTCTGGTCATTTATTTATTTATTTATTTATTTACAATAATAATAATAACAATAATAATAACCAAAACTTTATAAGGAGCCTTTTTATTTATTTATTCAATTATTTATTTATTTATTAACAACTGAAGACTGACATCGCGACAATACATATCAGGCGTGGATCCACACCGGTTTTCACCGTTTTTAGAGATGAGTCGGATTTTTCATAATAAATATAGTTTAAGACTTTCCAAGGTGAAATATGAAAAATGGTTTGGACTCGCCTTGTTTGGCATCTATATTAACATATGGAAATTGACCTCAGTTGATGAAACAGTCCGCCGATTTGCAAGGCTTCATCCGAGGAGAATGGAACTGGTCAATATCCTGTCGTTGTGACTCAGAAACCCAGGAAAGGGGACTTCAGAGAGTTATAAAAATCCACAAAAATATAGGGGGAGCATCCCTCCGGAGTCCAGGCCCCCCCAGAAACCGGCGCCTTGGGCGCTCGTTTAGGAAATAGGTCAATATTTATCCTAGATCCACGCCTGCATATGTTAGGTCAACATCATTCTGCATTGACTAAAAATTCATAATACGCAAGAATGGAGTATTATTCACTAAACTAGTTTACTCACTGGAGGAAGACTATTGCCAAACGAAAGGGGCATAATTTGTTTACTGTTGAGACAATGAGAAAAGTCCGAGCTTAATAAAAAAGTAACATGAAGGACGATTTTCATAACAAACGCATGCATCTAGTAACTCACGAGAAAAGGGCCCGTTATGGTGAAGCAAGTAGTTGAAAGGGAAGACAAAAATATTCTTTGTGCTCTAAAGTTCACTTCCACAAATTTTACCATGAGTCGTGCAATGTGGTAACAACCTGTCAATTGCGAGTTTTTAAACAAGCTTGGAAGCCTAAAGGGGTGGATCTTTATAAAGATGTGAGATTCAAGTTCAAATTGGAATAAATGGATGCAATTTTGCCGTACATCTGGTTGGTAATAGGGACCTTAAGATCCGACGACGGCGACGGCAACGGGAACGCCACAAAAGCAATAGGTTTATTAGCAAAACAACAATTTTGCACGTGCATCACGCTTTTTTGTACATTTCTTTGCCGTCACTGCATGACTACGACGTGAAAATGCCTAATTTCCCGATGTACAGAGGAAGTACACAAGCGACAACGAAATTTCCTCTCCTTTTCTGAACTTGAATATGGTTCTTAGGAATTCAACTTTAGAAGGGTTCCCCAACATTTGACAAAGTTAGTGACTTGGAGTAATCGCTATGAAGATTGAAAGAACACGAATTCACTTTTTCAGCGACGTTTTCTTCGCCGTCGCCGTCTTCGGATCTTAAGTTTCCTAATAGGTCGTGGATGACGTCAAACGGTGTGTTTTAAAAAAATGTGGCCAAATAGCCGTGGATATTCTGAAATTCCTACCACAGTTTGCAGACTTTACTTTGTTTTCAAAATTAAAACATCAATAAGGATTTACAAGGCTCTCCCGGTCTGACGCTGGTGACTTGGGTTATTTCATTACTTCAATCGCATTCTATTTAATACCGCCATTCAAACGAATCCATATTCATATTTCAAGGAATCTGCACCTGTTCCTCAAATCTTTTTTTCTTTTTTCAGTCATCTTCAAAGCCGTCAATGGGGCGCTGATACGTCATCTGCTGGGAACAGCTCGCTCTAAATAGAAAAAAAAAACAACCTATACATTTGTCGTGATTTTCACATCCAGGTACAAATTACTGTTCATCGCTTTTGTATAGAGTGTTTTCACTCACGTGGCCAGCATCTATGCAAATTTATTGGAACAAAAGAAAGCGTTTGCATAAGAAAGGAATTCAACTCACTGGTTTGGGATACCAACGTGGCCGCCGTTTTATTGTTTTGGGACACCAACATGGCCGCCGCGACGTCATGTGAAAACACTCTATTGCCTGGGAGAACTGCCGACCTTTAGCGACGCCATCTCTGGTTTCACCGCGAAATGACGTCTGAGGAACGAGCCCAGAAATTCCATACTGATGACGTGTTACTACTCAGATCTGGGTAGTGCTTCTGATTGGTTAAAGCAAATTACCGTAGCGGCACGACCAATCAGAAGCGCTACCCAGACGAGGGGGGTTGGGAACTAACCGACATCTGGGTAGCGCTTCTGATTGGTCGTGCCGCTACGGTAATTTGCTTTAACCAATCAGAAGCACTACCCAGATCTGAGTAGTAACACGTCATCAGTATGGAATCTCTGCGCTCTTTCCTCAGACGTCATTGCGCGGCGAAACCACTGGTGGCGTCGCGAAATGCCGGCTGTTTTCCAAGGGGAATTTTGATATGGAAATTCAGTTTCCTTTCCGATTGTTCAGCCGCCGCGAAGAAAGGATCGCTTAATTTGATGCCCACCTACCCCTCCCCTAAGGCATCATTTTGTCCTAAGTGAAAAGTATGTGTTAATGTTAGCTTAGGGGAGGGGTAGGTGGACAGTTTCCCAGACACCTAAATTGATCCAATTTGATCACATAGCATAGGTTTCAGCTCTTTTCAATGCCTTTTAACAGCACATACCCGGTATTTGTTTTAGCAATACACATAAAAAAGCATAAATCGTTTGAATGCAGGTTTCCTTTTCATGACTTAACCTTGCCCGTGTTGATGGTACCTTAAGCGGGCTAACACGGTCAGATTGAAATCAAGGACAAAACAACAAACCATGGCCAAACAGTTCAAACCAAGGCCATATGTAAGCGGACACCCTCAGGACGCGAAAAAGGTGTCCGTAACTAAAGCTGGCCGCTGACGGGAATGTGAAAAACAGAGTTTGTATGGGAGTTGAGAAAAAAGGACTCTTGATGAGGCGATGGTAAGTATTCTCCTTTTCTTTTTGAACTGTGCTTAGTCAAAATAAGTAGTTCGGGTAATCTCAGGTTTTGAAAAACTAGATCCCTATCTTATCAATTAACGACATAAACAAGTCAGAATTATAAAACACTATACCTCCTTCAGCTCGGGAAATATCTCTCCCATCAAGCAGTCAAGAAGAACAAATGCAAGCTGAAAGCCAAAATCGACAAATAATTCAGAACAGCAATGAAGTATCCGCAGTTGAACTCTACCATGCTACTGAAATTCACATTAAAATGCTTCTCTGAAGGCCGAAGCAAATGGTGTGCGCGGGCTAAAAACGTTTAGATTTAAGTATTGGGACCGATCGTGATAAAGGACGCGCATAGAACTCTCGTTCCTTGTCACTACTTATCAATGAGCTGAAAAAGGAGGCGAGAAAACAACAACAACAAAAGACTTGTGTTGCAAGCTTTCGATTTTCTTGTTCTAGCGACCAAGGAAAACTGATTCAGAGAGGGGCAACGAGATGAACAAGGTACCGACAACCGACCTGTTTATTTAACTTGGGTTGCTGAAGAAGCTCAAACAGTAGAGTCATTCCTGCCTTGTGTCTTTCTGTGCCCATCGCCCGTACAGCAATGTCGGGCAGGAACTCTAACATTTCTTTTAGAGTCTGCTCGCGCCTTTCTAACTTTTGTGTATCAGTTCTGAAACAAAAACAGATGGAATCTAGGATGATAGTGATTATATTTTTGGTCCCTCTTTCTATGCCCCGCCCCGCCCCGCGTCCGTTCGCCCACCAAACAAAGAAAGGATGAAAAAGGGGAAGGATTACAGGAAAGGAAAGTGTAAATACGTGCGATTTAAGTAAACTGTTCATAGTTTGACGTTTACCTTGAGTTAAGGGGAGGTTTAGACTCCATCAACACGAAACGGGATATTTTTGATACCGGATATTTTGTTCCCCGGATTCGTGTGCACGGGGCCCTCAGCCACTTGAGACCGCAAAGATTCGGCCAGCTGACTCACTGGTTTCATGCGGGAAGGAAGGTCAAAATTTATCCGGTCTCAAAAATATCTGGATTCTTGTGGACGCGTTTACATTAGTGGGTTTACGCAACAAGACGGCAGAAAGAAGAGGTCGGCAAAACGCTTGTGCGTGTCAAACGTGACAGGGCTATTACTTGCGTGTTTCGTCATGATCTTCACCTAAGGGACTGGTCAAAAAGTATAGGGGGGGGGGCCAGAGCATTTGGAAATGTGGTTGATAAAAAACACATGGCCCACCCCCTCCCTTCGGCACAAAAATGACTGACCCACCCCTAAAGCAAGGTTGGAAATTGCATGACCCACCCCCTAGTTAAAACAAGGATGTTTGGTTTCCTCTCAATAATCCAATAAAACCTTGTTCTGTGCTTGACAAAATTTGCTGATACACTGCTACAACCAATATAAAAATCACGGAAATCATACCTTTCACTGAAAAGACGGATGTGAAAAACTGATCATTTCTTGTTTCGATGGACCTTGTGAGTCTTGACACAAATATACAGCAAAACGATGGTATATTGAAATTGTCTGTCACAAAGCATATGAAAATTTCTACAAAGACAACCCATTCCTACACATTACTTGCCGGAAATGCTCAGATTAATCTTCAAAGAAAATTTCTTCCCCTTCATTGGAAAGCACTGCCTACAAAACCATGGAACTGCAATGGGCACAAAGACAGCAGTTTTGATTCCTTTGCCAATATTTTCATGACATATATTGAAACCACAACTCTAAGAAAAACGGTCTTTAGAACAACAGCTACATACACGATATCTTTTTCCAATGGGACATTAGTAAACCAGACATCGAAGCCTTCATTGAACAAGCAAACTTACATCACCCAACTATTGAATTCGCGGCCGAAACATTTTGACACTGAGACTGCGTTTTTAGACACAGTTGTATACAAAGGCACAAGATTCAAGGAAAAATCTATCCTTGATGCAAAGACACATTTTAAACAAACGGAAACCTTCTTGAACACACATTTCACCTCCTGCCACCCTCCAAATTTCAAAAAAGGATTTGTCAAAGGAGAAGCCTAGAGAATCCTACAAAAACTCCTCACAAACAACCATTTAGGAAAATAATTCAAATTTAAAAAAAAACGCTTGATGTACGGAGGTTACCCACAATCTTTGATAGAAAACGTACTATCAGAAATAAAATTCACAAAAGGGAGTCTAAACTCCTAAAACAAAACAACAAGGAGGAAAAAGAAATATTGCCTTTCGTGATACAATATACCAGCCCTCCGTGTCTACTGTAAAGAAAGCTTGAATGAAAAAATGGAATCTTATACAAAACCAATTATAACTTCAATAAATTTTTAAAGAACCACCAATCATTTCCTCACAAAAAAGGAAAATCATTAAAGGACATGCTTGCTAGAGCCCCCCCAAAAAAGGTTAACAAGAGGGTTCCTGGCCCGTATAGATGTGCGGCCTGTCCCCCTTTGTATTTTCTCGCACAACAGGTTTGTGAGTATTTTAGCAATAATTCCAGCTGGCTGTGTTTTATATAACAAGTGTAGTCAACTGTCTCGTGAGTAGTTAGTGCCTATCTAAGTAATAAAATAGGGTGACCCACCCACTAAGGGTAGCTGAAAATTGCATGACCCACCCCTTGCACAAGGCTCAAAACCTCATGACCCACCCCCTCTCTGCTCCGGCCCACCCCCGCCTATACTTTTTGACCAGTCCCTAACATCAACGTTTTCTGGTCTTTGCAAAAATATTTGTTTAAAGGAAAGTGAAGTTTGGCGAAAAGATATCTCAAGCAAATTTTTTGTCACGCTTGTCTTCTTTGCTGTCCCGTCCTGTTGCGTAAGTTCACTATTATTTGTTGTGGGAGTGTAGTATTCGGAAGCACTCATGCGCAGAGGACACAGAGGTTTAAGCCTGTCTAACCCTTGTGTGTACCTACATGTACCATCCATTTATGTACCGATGAATAGGTTTTGATTAGAAAAGAATTTAAAAGCTTTACCTTGGTGGATCCTGATCAAAGAATATCGCATCTAACAAAGAAAAAAAAGGTTTTAAGATGTTTCAACATGGTTTTAAAAAAAGGAAACAAAAATGCTGGCATTAAAATTTAATCACCGGATGTATCATTTTAAGGAAGCCCATGCCTAGTCCCTAGGCCTCATTATTCCGCGTGACCTATGCGTTTCGGGTAATGTGGTCCCGGCGAGTTTTTGAACCGTTCGTCTCGGATACGTCACCGAAATGCATGGACCGAGAAGGCCTGGCAAGACGCCGTACAGGGACTGGGAAAATGAAGCCCCAAAACAAGCGGATTGAAGGAGGGGTAGTCTTCCTCGCAGCGTTTTTTGTGAGACAAAAACAGCTGCGTGGGAGACTAGAGGGAAGGAAGCATGGCAGACGGATTAAAGGGCTGAACTAGCAATCCGAAGCTGCCCAGTTCGACTCCAGCCCTAATCGCTAGTTGGATTTTCTTCTCGATAGTCTCTCGTTCAAATCTCCGGCCACACCTGTAAATAGCCAACCCGATAATTAGATTTCTTAACCCTGTTACGTTTAATTTGTATTATTTGTTTCATTATCCTTAAAAAAACCCTTACGGGAAGAGGATAAACATTTATTACTGTGGTTTTAGGACCATGGTCGTTTTAGGAGAGGAAAGCTGTAAAATTTCTAGGCGAGCTAAAGGGGGCAAGGGGTAGGACGACAAAGCGGCGAGAGAATGCCTCCTCCCCACCCACATCCCACCTCCACTTCCACTCAACCCTTAGAGAATAAATCAAGCTGCTCGTCTTTCGGCTTTCGCCTCCTATTTTAAACTAACCTCTCAGTAGATGAATAATCATAACAAGGCGGTGTTCGTTAGTTAGTAAATCCACTTTATGAGTTAAATATCTGAAATGTAAACAAGCCATGTTTGAGGTTTTGAACAAGGAAGGAGAAAACTTCCGAGAAAAAATGTTGTGCAAAGTTGATAGTACCTGTCAGCGAAGACGTCTAGAGTCTGTTGAAAGGCCACTTTACCACACACCAACAAGCTGTACAAAAATGCTGGTACCTTAAACAGCTGTTGAGCTACAGTAGAATAAAAACATTGTCATTGAAAGAAACATTCGCAATACAGGGTAGGAAAAGTCTTTTTCTTTGAAATTTCTCCTTTCCTAGTACAAAGGTGGACGAGTAAATCGTAGAAAAAGTTTGCTTGTTGTTTCTGTGTTTGTGTTTTTTTCTTCGGGGGGGGGGGGGAAGGGGAGTGTTATATGGCATACGACGGGAAGGATGTGATAAAGTACCCACCGAGATACAGGATATAGTCCGTGGCACCATGAACTTCCAACAGAGGCTTTCCTGGTGCTGGAAAATACAAAAAATATATTGTCATTTCATCAGATTTACGTAATAAACAGGAATTTATACAAGTTGTTTTCCATTTGATTTTATCAATAACTGAAAATTACGTTTTACTTCTTTGGACCCTTGAGCTTTAGAATGACAAATTTTCTATTCTCTATAAACTAAAACTAGCAGTAGCCGTTGGCTCCTAAACATCATCCCGACATGAAATATTTTACCAGCGAAAACGTAGCTTAAAAAGAGAATTTGGCCTGTTACATCAATTTGTGGATGACTGCCAACAAGTTAAAGCTTAACAATGATAAATCAGAATTTCTCTTTCTGCACTCCCGTTTTCGTCATTCGTTGCCCCCGCCCACGATTTCTGTTGGCATGGAAAACATCAGGCTCGCAATCTTGGCGTGATTTTTGACGACACAATGTCACTTTCACCTCATGTTAATACAATAGTTAAGGGTGCCTTCTATCACATACGAAATATTTCTAAAATAAGAAAATACATAAGTACAAGTACCACAGAAATTCTAATTCACAGTTTTGTTAGCTCGAAGTTGGACTTTTGTAATTCTCTTCTTTTTGGTGCCCAAAAACGGGACATAGCTAAGTTGCAGTCTGTTCAGAATGCGGCTGCTCGAATTATCGCCGGTCTCAAAAAACGAGATCACATCACCGAGACTCTAAGAGATCTTCATTGGCTTCCTGTTGAGGAGAGAATTGTTTTTAAAATAAATTCAATAACTTTTAAAACATTGAATGGCTCCGGTCCCCGATATCTTGAAGATATTTTAAAATTTTACCATCAAACAAGGACATTACGGTCATCAAGGGATCATTTACGCCTTGAAGAACCAAATTTTAACATGAAAACTTATGGCCAGCGAGCGTTTTCCGTTGCTGCCCCCCGACTATGGAACAAGCTCCCCTTTGAAATTGGAGCTTGTTCTGATGTTAATCTTTTTAAATCTAAGTTGAAAACGTTTCTTTTTAAAAAGGTATATGACAATTAGTTTCGTCATTTTTGTTTTTGTTTTTGATTTTGTCTTTTTTTTGTCTTTCCTTTTTAAGATGTGTACAGTAGGGTTATATGTAAGCTTGTGCTTAATGATATTCTTATGTCCTTTTTTACATTGTAAAGCGCTTAGAACAGCGATGTATAAGCGCTATATAAATTCCATTATTATTATTATTATTATTATTATTATTATTATTATTATTATTTCATCACTACCATTCTACTTCGCGGGGGAAGGGGCGCGGGTGCAATTCGTCAAATTTCAGCCTTTTTTTCTTTAATTAAAAACAAACAAAAAACAAGCCTTACCTTCTGCCTTTAAACGTGAGTTACCCCTAAAAGAAAATATATCGACAAAAAGTCATGTATTAGAGGATCATCATAGCCCCAAACCTTCACGCCGTTGAAATTTCACATGTAAAACTGATACTTACGAGCTTTTTCTTCTGAGGAGATAATGTCCCTCCTAAAAAAGAGAAGACACGGCAGAAATGACTTTATTTAAGACCCGCTTAATAGCAAATAATTCTTGACAGGAGTGGGGTTCATACCTCCGTCGCCCACTCCTCCCTTCTCCTACATACTGGGAGCGATCAAGGCAATCGAGCGAAGCGAGCGGGAAACAACAGTTCCCCAGCTCCCCAGTTCCTCTCTCGGCCATTTAACTCTCTCCTGTCTCCAGTCCTACTCGTGTAAAAAGGGATTGCTCGCAGTCTACCCCTCCCTCTACCCCCTCTTCTTTACTATGTTATCTAGTTCGTATCCATATTACGATTTTTATTTCATTTATTTGTAAACTGTAAACTTTTCGTAGTTAGCCTTAGTCTTAATTTCATATTTTGCAAGCATTGTCCTGCTTCTGTAATATTACCTGTTTATTAATAAAGTTTGTTTTTGTTGTTATGACAGCACTATAGCGACTACAGCGTGAAAGATTTTTAATAGTATCCCAAACCCTTACCTCGCTTCGTCTTTGTGACTGTTCTAAAATGCCTCTGCAGAAAACAAAGAAATTGTATATTCATAACGTCATACTACAAAAACTGCGATTTGATCAGAATGGTAAAATTGAGAGAAAATTCCATCGATGCAGTAACTTACTTGGGCAGTGGTTTTCGTTTTGTTGGCTCTACCGTGGAAGACAAAAACGCTTGTAGAAAAGAATCAAGATTCTGTCCTTTCTGGAAAATAAGTTAAATTCCCCTCTTAAAATAGATTCCAGATATGAATACTATTTTTAAAAGGTCGGCCAGTCTTTCCTCATTTTAAAAATTCAACTCAGAACACTGAGGCTCGGTTCACGCTATACCGGATAGTTTTTGCGCTGTCACGAAAACCATACAGAATAGGGTTTCTGTTCACACACAAAAACGTGACTTCAGCGCGATAGTCTATAGGAAGTTTTAGGATCGATGACGGCGACGGCAGCGAAAAAGTCACTTTGAAAATGACTTAGCTTTTTTCCAGACTTTGTCGCGTCTATTCCAATTCGCTGAAAATATCTAATGTCTACTAGGCAAATTTCCCTGGAGCTGATTTCTTGGGGACAGCACTCAAGTTAAAACATAAAACGTGAAATTTGGCATTTTCACGTCGTAGTCGTACATTAACGGCAAAGAAATGTACAAAAAAGCGTGATGCACGTGCAAAGTTGTTGTTTTGCTTAATAAACCTGTTGCATTTTTGACGTTCTCGTTGCCGTCGCCGTCGTCTTTGCTAAAACTCCCTTATAACAGAGCGAAGCTGCGCCGCGCTGATCTCTAAAGTAGAGAGTCACATATCGAACAGGCGTTCACACTATACGGGATACCTCCACTTAACGACACGAAAAGCCATCCGATATAGTGTGAACATAACCTAATATAGTGATAAGTGACACACAAACTACACTATTGCCTCCCGGTAAGCAACCAGTTAAAATGCTGAGATTTGCAAGCTGGTCGCTCATGAACGGTTCTCAATTTCAGTATTGTGAGTATGAATTGAAATTCTGGTGTTTTGGATTGTGTCGCTTATGAAAGACGGTCACAGATCGGCATTCGTATAGTAAAGACGGTATAAAACATATAAGACTGAGAAAAGGCAATGACCATGCATCACGAATTGGTCAGTGTCCCGAATATATATCACAGTACAGTGAACGAATTTACTATATCTCACCCCATCAGTAAGGTTATCCAAGACGGACTTGGATTCTGGAATCCAGATAATCGACTATGGATTCCTTATCAGTGGAACTTGAATTCAAAATCCCCATAATCAAGCAGAATCCTATATTCGTAGAGCTGAATTCCGGATTCCACAACCCCAGGATTCCGGACTCTCCAAGCAAAATTTCTCGGATATACCCTTACTACATGGGACGTAACACACGCGAGTCCTGGGAGCTTTGGTTAAACAGTAACTCACTGGTAATTCTATTCTAATTCCATTAACACTGCCATTAACGGAACACAATATTTCACCCACCTCTTTCTTGAGTATCGTCGTCATGGATTTAATTTTTTTGCCTGTGTATCCAAGAGGAATCGAATGGTTTAAAACAAACAAAAAATACACGAAAATGTCACAGATCTAAGAAGAACATGTGCGAGTATAAATAGAAAAAATAGGATTTCGTGTGGGACAAAATTTTGCAGGACTTTATTTTTGTGGATTTTCGATTTTTTTGTGTTTTTCGGGAACTAATTTTTGCGATTAGGACAGAGAGGTTTTTTCTTGCTGGGAACATTTGTATTCCCGTTTGCAGTTTAAAGAGAGCCGCGATGAAATGGATTGATAACATTAAAGACACTATTTTAATAAGTCCTGTTTAGCGAATTTGCGTATAGAACACCAGTATCTACAGTGGAATAAATTTTGCAGGAAAAGTTCGAGCGTTTTTTTCCAATTTGGGGGATCATTTTTTTTGCAGATAGCAAAAAAAAACGTTAAGATCAGAAAAATTAGGACACGGTATATCAGGGAGTAAATGATTTTTTAAAAGCACTCTAAGATATAACTCTCTTTTCACATTTCGCCTCAACTGCGCGAAAAGATGAAAAGGAATCGACAGATGCTTTTCTTCTGACTGATCCTATTTAGCACTAAAACAAAAATAGTTAAAGCGATCTTACCGGCTTTGTCGCCAACTTTTTCAGGAACAAACATGTTACTGAATTCTTTATCAGGTGAGAGAAAGTTGAACAGCAGAGCGCTTCCTCTCAGCAGTGGATTGGAACAGAGATACTGACAATAAAAACAGAGAACAAATGAACACAAAATACCGTAAACCGCCGGTTATAAGCCCCTGGGCTTATACGTAAACTGACGAGCGGTGTTGTGAGAAAAAAATATAAATTTACTGTATCTATATAGGTTCGGCACTTGAGAATCACCCAGTTGTGTAGGAGATGCTCGTAAGTTCTCTCCTGATTGGTCGCAGAAAACAATGACATGTCATTCTTTCAATTGTTTCAGTATTGTTTGGGGTCAGGGTTAGGCACCATTGGTGACTTCTCTTCCCAGCAGCTGCTACCGAATCACCGACCGCTCCAGTGTCAAATAATGCGACAGACTCTGCCGCTTGGCGTTTCTGCCGCACCAAACTAAAACTGCCGTACCAAATTGATTCAGACGCCGCTCTTTTGCCGTACTTAATTCATCACTTAGGTTCGGCACATGAGTGGAGCGGTGTCCGAACCGGGCCTAAGATCGACGCGGACATCACAAGGAAGAATGCAAACTCACCTGTAAATACCTCTCAAACTGCACTCGGCAGGCTTCAAAATAAACAGCTGTGGTCTTCTGTGTAATACTTCGTGATGTGTTACGCTTGGGTGGAAGTAGCGAGTCATCGATCTCTCCTGAAAAGACACTACCAAATTATTGCACTACATCTTATGATAGAAAGGCTGAATTAACTAATTCTTTCACTGGAAGAAGACCTATAAATAATAAAATTAGCTACCTTTAATTTCCTTATTTTTCTAACGAACACGCCAAAATGCCGTTTAAAATTTTGGCATTGGTTTTCACTCTATTTTAAAAATGTTGGTCGGACTGTTTGGTTCGTCGTTTGTTTGCTCCCCCAAAGTCCTCTAGGCAAATACCCTTCTACATTAGGGGCAAGTTACCACGGAGACTTTCCAGAATATGTTTGCCTGTGGACTGTTACGAACGTGGCTTATATTGAACTTATGTTAAACTTTATTGTTTTTTCGATTTAAATTGAAGCCAACGAAAGCAGTATTACAAAATGAAGTTTGATTCACTCAGAAAACAGCTTAAAGTTTGTATTTGGGTACGGATTACATAATTTGCTAGTTTGCTGGAGAGCAGTGAGTAGACGTTGATTGTTGAGACTGCTGTGTTTGTGTAGCTGTTGCGGCATAAACAAACAAAAGCAATATATTAAAGACCTACCATGGAACTCGTTTAATTTGCTCTGGAGGACATAGAACTCTTTAGGTCTCCTGCGATAACAAAATGCAACAACAACACAAAAGAAAGAAAAAGCTACAGGCCAGCCGTTAACGGAGGAACACAGTAAACCGACACAATTAATTTAACCAAAACTAACAGTCAATGATTGAAACAACTCATATTAACGACGCTATACTCAATAGTTGCACTTTGTCTACATTGTATCAATACAATTTTAAAATGTAATTAAAATTATTTGAAGACTTAAGATCCCCTTATTTCCATATCAATATATAAGGATGGATCCCACTGTTGACAGATATTTGGTTATCAAAAATATTGAGAGATTCGTTAGTATGGCGACAAACATTCTAATTTCACAAAAAAGCAAAACAAAACTATTCAACATGGATTTGTTTTTTGTTACTCTCGATATAAGTACTTGAACTAGTTTGATAAATCTCTATGGCAGGCTTTTGGCTTTGTCTGATGTGAAATCGTGTGACATTTTAATAAACAGAGCGGCAGAAACTCTGCTTACCTCGCCAGATCCCATCTTGTAGCTGCAAAAACAAAATATGAACAAATCGTTACGGATGTTGTTTAGATAGTGCGTTGGTCCGTATTGGGGAAAAATTCGATTTTACGAACACAAAGCCGTGCAATATTCTTCTAATACTGGCTGTCTGAGGAGGCTAATTTTAATAGTTCGATAAATGCTTTATTGCTGTGTATAGTCTCTGGTACAACATATCCGGCAATTATGCCGATAGATAGGCTTATGGCCCTCTGTATTGACTAAATACTTATAAGGATCAGCAGCTTCGCTTTAAGCAAATTAAAAGAGGCACACTTGACGTATTCTAGACGTGACATGAATTTTTGGAACAACCATGAGTCGAACTTTTCGCAGGCATAGCAAATTCCCGCTGCTAAAGACGATTTTCCGTGGGTCAGTTAAACTAAATGATGAGCGATTTCGGGGAAAAACTTTTAAAAAACGGAGACCTTAAACCACAGAGAGAAACAGGAGAAAAAAGTAAACTTGCTGTCCTCAACTGAATCACAATAAGGCGTTCATGTGCCGGCATTATTCACGAAAGTTTAAAGATGGATTTGTCTAAAGTTTCTACCGACACTGGATTTTTCACCCTCAGCATCAACCAAAAACAAGAGGCAGGAAGCGTCGAGATAAAAAGTTTGAAGTTTTTCAAACTGTCAATAACACTTGAAAATCTACTGAAGAGCCCGGCTTTATATTTGACAGTTTTATTTACAGGATTATAAAAAATCAAATATAGCGATGACAATTTTGATTTTAATTCACCGCTTCCCTGGTAGTCGCACTTTTGCTTGTTTCGAACTCCTTTCAACTTTCGCGCCATTTCTTCCCCGAACAAAACATTGAAGTTGCGGCTTTTATCTGCCGATCAAACGTTTCGATTTCAAAGAAATTCACATTCACATAAATCGGCGTTTGCCGAGCAAGACCAACAAGACCAACACATGCGAAACAAATACGAGGTTTGGACATTTGGATATAATCTACTACATCATGATGGAATACGAGGAACTACTAGACAGATTTCAAACCCTGACAAATCAGCTAGAAGTCATAGAGGCCAGTCTATTCAAGAGTGAATCACGACTCCAAAGATCGATGGAACGAACAGACACAGTACAGAGGAAAGCCTCTAGCTTGGCTCACAAGTTCGGGGAAATGGAGAAGAACTTAAGTGAAATGGAGAAAGAAATTAAAAACACCAGTGAACAACCTGTCAAAGCAGATCAAACGAAGACTGAACTCCCTGGGAAACTGGAGAATTAAACATAGAGATCAAATCGGAAATGATTCACAGAATGTGAGTATTAAAACTATTTGCGTTTTCGGATGAAATTATGGAACAGAAAGTCGGACAAGCCCCTAACGTATCATCCACGTTCCTTGGAGAGAAAGTTACGCGCATCAGCCCCGGATCAAGAATGGACCAAGAAAACGCAAGTAAATAGGAACGTGGAGCGAGAAATCGCAAAATGAATTGACAAGGGACGTTTATAGAGCTTTACCAGCGAGAGGAAAATTAAGTACAGTCAAAACTTCTGGCCTCAGTTGTTTAAACGGCGGCGAGCGCTATGTACTGGATAAATGTCTATTCCGCCAGTGGAAGATGAAATTGGTTTTCTTCAAAACTTAACCACTGGCAAGTGATTTGGTCAGTGGATAGTATACCTGCCAACTCTCACGCCTTAGGCGTGTGTCTCACGCCTGCGGGTTGAAAACTTCGATCTCACGCCCGCTCACGCCTGCCGGCCAATTTCTCACGCCTGATTGAAAAATGTGAGTTGTTGCCGTCTTGCTTGACACAATTTCCAAAAACATGTTAACTCAGACCCATGTAAGGAAAGAAAACCACGTGTAAAATGAATAAATGACAATACCTTCCTCGCGATCTCTGACTTTGTGGATAAGCGTTTTCTCGATAACTTCGCCTTCGGCAGACTTCGGACGTCTTCGGAAGACTTCGGACTTCTTCGGAAAACTTCGGACTTCTTCGGGAATCTTCGGAAATGATCTTGTCGTCTTCAAAATCCCAGCACTCCCAGGATAAAAATCTCACGCTTATATCTCAGAAAAAGTTGGCAGGTATAGGATAGCGCTATCCAAGTTTTGAACAACTGGGTCGCAACTGATTGCATATGTTATCAGTATAGCAAACCCTTAAAAAGAGTTTTAGTATTGTTTTCAGGTCAAACGTTTAAAGCGAGTGAATAACAAACAATATTCCAGTCAAAGTATCCACAGAGAGTAAACGTTAACTATATCAAATGTGTACCTTTGTCTTTCAGTCTACACACCAAAAAATTGTCCAGACAATGCAGGTTAGAAAACGAATATCCGATTATGGTTACTGTCTAAACGTGAACGACAGTGAGGGGAATTATTTGAAAACAGTTTTAAAAAGTAGTCGCTGACGCCGCCGTCCGTAATGTTGTCACACAACGCTCCTCTCTAGAAGCGTTGCGTGACCACACAAAGAACGGCTGCGTCAACTTCGTACCCAGGGTCCTCCTCTACTTATTCCCTCCTCTCTCCCTTCAAGAGTGGATAACTTTTTTAACGAATAAACAATAGTTTACAGTTGTTAACGCACAAGTTTCTACGCATCTCCAAACTTTTTACCACATGTCAGCATAAGACACCATTAAATAGTAAAGGCTAATTGCTTTGCTGCATACAAACCAACAATACCAGTTTTCGGAAAACACTTAAGATCAGAGCATATCTTTTCCTCTTAGTCTTCTCGAGAGTTTTACGTCGCTCTGATGTGAATATAATAGTGTCAACATCAGGCCTGAGCTACTACAACTGTATTTATGCTACACTGTGGAGTAAAATATTCACCTTCGGTTATATCCCGTCTTTCAACTGATATTATGAAGATGCCTTTCTGTAAAGCAAATGAAACAAATTCTGTAGCCAGAACTCAAGGGGAACTCTACAAGTTAGAGTCTTTTTAATCCTTATCAGTATTCGGCGAATCGCCAAAACTTTATAACAGCTATAATAAAAAGTAATAGGTGATTAACAGTGTAAATCGGAGGTCTTCTCAACATTTCGTATGTTTTCCAAAGATTTCAAAAGTGGAGACCGGGAGAGACCGAGGTAGACCGGTTGATGCACAAACGGGCAACAAAAATGTGCAACTGGTTTCTAACATTGTTGCAAAACGAGTTGAAATAGCGATGTTGCGGGTTTAACCGCCCACGTTCGAACCTGTCTTGCAACAAATAGCGTTGCAAGGATTTTTTTCGCGGGTGTTAAAAAGCGCAAAGTTGAACATTTCTTTGTTGTTGCCCGTTTTATAGCACCGTACCTTTCGCTCAAACCAATCGCGAAATAATTCTCCGTAATCAATTCAAAACTGCCGTAAATTTCAACTTTCTCTGAGTATAAATAGTTGCATAACCACAACAAACCTGTTTCGTCTCCATAATCACGTGGGGAATAGTTATCTTCCACATGCTAAGATCGCGTGCTTCTTTTTCCTCCAATTCCATCTCTTCTTCGCTTTCCAAATAAAAATCCTAAAAGAGGAAAAACGTGACGCGTTGACGACGGAGCACTGACAAAAAAAATCGTAATCTCTACCATCAAAGGAAACAAAATGGTAGCGTTTCAAGGTTGATTTGTTTCGCGCATAAATTTCCAACGGACACATCATTAAAAGTGGCGAGAGATGCTGGGGCTTTTGGTCTCTACACGCAATGACTTTCTACGGTTTCATTAATCGTTTTTCTTACGATTATGGCTTACATATATCGCTCGAGACGTTTCGACTGCGTACTACAGGTCTTCACCAGGGGACAGTGTCGATTTGTTGAGTGAGACTATTTGAACCACCGTGGTTGTTAGTGATTGGTTGGTGGGTTCGATTTAAAGCACTCTTGTCATTATTAGAGGAGAAAACTATTCCCTCAGCGTTCTTCTGTAGTAGCGATCGACTGCTGTATTGTCTGATCACACATGGCAAAACTGTGTGAATTTCTGGGGGAATAGGGCTGGGTGAAGAGACTGGCCGGGTGACCACCAGCGAATATTCTGTCGGTGTAAATTAGCTTTGATCCCCGAGCTACTGAGAAGAGACTAATGTAGTAAGGAGTAATATTTACCGGTGGTGTGTCTGGGATATCAAATGCGTCTTCCTCGTATGGTGAATCATCTATTGAAAAAAAAATTAAGGGACACATGTTTACAGATGGTAGTGAACTAGAGATTTAGAAGACATTTTACAGTTAGCTGTAGCTGAAAGTTGGAACGAAGGATTTAATGAAAGAAAGCAACGCAATGGCAATTCACTAACCCATGATTTGTCACTTTCCGCGTTCTACTACGCGACTTTGCCCGCCGTGCCGGCGTATTGGATTCATACAATGCCGAATTTTAGATTCATTTGCCACGAATCCTGAAAAAAATCTCTTTAAGAGTAAAAGTTGTAAAATAAGGCCAAAGAAATAATCACCCGTAGCCTGCGATGAGGCGCGATCTGTCAGCATGGGATCAGGGACGAAACAAAGTCTGATTCTCACCCCTTCCACCGATCGTTTTTCTACTCTTTTCAATTCAGACGAAGGGTTTGGTAGTTTAAGATTCAGGCTACACTCAGGAAATACCTAATGCCCTCTTGCTCAAAACTACACCTTCACCAGGATTACGAGCTCAAAGACAAACACCTTACAAAAACAATAAAAGGAACGTTCGGAATATTCAGAAAAAGAGAATAAGGAAAATCACTTCCGCTATATTGTCAAGCCTTTTCTGTTGATTTAAGTACTTCACATAGTTAGATGGGATAAATGGACTGACCGCCACGACCCAAACCTGCTACAAGAACAATGTAAAAGCAATGTTTGGTTCAGTATGAAACCCGCCGTGTCCGTTGATATGTTATAAACCAATCAAGGCCACCGAGCTGTGATTACCTTTTGTTGGATTCATCATTTTATCTTTGAGTTTTCCTGCCAGTCGTGAAAACTCCGCTAGGGGATCAAACTTTTTCTTCGAAACTCTGCGAAAAGGCAATAGTAATGACCTGTATGAGACCACGAAGCTGTAATAGTTTTTTACAGTATATAGTAGTTTAGGAGTACAAAACATGGCTTCATGTTAACGACAAACGCATATTCCTTTTATAAGAGACTCGCATAGCATTTTTTCAATTCATGGTTTTATACAAGAGAAACAGAGACGGAAATTACTCCTAGCAACTAACGTTGTATCCGTCCTGAGGGGAAGGAGTGAGGGACGGGCGGTTACAGTACTCGCTTAGGGGGCTTCAAGATTGAGAAAACGGCTTCCCTTTAGCTCACGAGATCCTTTATACAATTTTTACCGTTTAATAACATCTCACAAGCATGATGGCATTTGAGGCCCATTACCTGGAAGCTGGTTTAGATAAAGGTTTGGCTGGCAATCGGCTTCCACACAACAAAGAAAAATACTGTAGAGAAAAAGTAAACCATTATTTATGGGGACTACAGTAAATGCAGATACCTTCAAATTAGAAGAAATATTAAGAGCATAATCCGTCTTCTTTTGGCCAACGGTTACCAAATGTACAGGCACAAAAGCCTTCAGTCGTCCTCGGCGAGATCGGATGTGACGTCAACCGTCAAGCTTGTCGAGAGAAGCCTGAGTCTCAATCGCATAGCTGGGGCTGAGAAGTGTGTGACGTAACTGTGCTGTACGTGTGTACGCATGTTTCAGTACCTACTTTACCCCATCAGGGAGAGTAAGGAGGAATTGTTGATGAGTCAAAGTAGTGTTGGAGTAATTTTCGAAAATGATCAACGATCTCTTGGATTCTTTATGAGTGGCCTAAAAATATCCTGCCACTCTCTCACCCAATAACAGAGTAAAAAATTCAGAGGGGCTTGATCGCATGCGTTTTGCTGCGTTTAAGTACAACGAGGCTGTTGATGGTACTTACATCATCGCTTTGGTAAAATAGAGGAAGAAACGTTGTCTCCAGAAGATTATATGCATATTCATAGGCTCTGAAAAATCAGTAAGAAAGTCAAATTTCAATTAGTAGATAAGTTACAGTTAAGTTGTGAAAGTTTTCATTTAAAATGGTCTTAACAATGCAAATGCATTATTGAGCAAACAGAAAACCGCCGTCAATTTTCAAGATCGCTTAAGACAGCAAATTAACTGTCTGACGCTCATTCTTAAGAATGCACAACGTACGCAAAAATAGACCATTTCTGAGTTGCCTAAGATAGATAATTTTATTTATTTATCCACGGTACAAAATTCGTCAGCTTTAAAAATGCCTAATACTAATATAATAAAAATATTTAAATAAAAAAGCTGCTTTCCACGAATGCCGTGCCTTACAGTTCTTTGAGTAATCGTTTAAATTGCCCAAGGGACTCTGCTTCCCTTAAGTTACAAGGAAGACTGTTCCAGAGAATGGCGCCACTATAGCTGAAGCTGTTTTTGTAATAGTTTGTGCGCGGTAATGGAATATTGAGTTTATTTTCAGAGTCCCTTAGGTTATATGCGACTTCTCGCCTTTCAAATTTAGAACTAAGATAGTTTGGAGCCAACCCGTGCAGAGACCTGTAAACCATCGTAGCTCTTTGAAATTGTTGCTGGCAAGCTAGGTTTTTCCACCCTAGAAGTTTGAAAAGGTGACCAGCATCTACGTCATAGCTTGAGTAGGTCAAAACACGGGCTGCTCTGTTTTGTAGCTTTTGAACCTTATTCCGTAAGGTTATCCCACAGTTTCCCCAAACAATGTTGCAATAATCAAAGTGTGGCTGTATTAAAGCTTGATATATTAGTTGTAAGGTCGCCTGAGGGACAAGGTGCCTTATTCGTTTTATGGCCCCAATACCAGAAGCGACTTTCTTTGTTACTTTCTCGATATGGCCACTCCAATCAAGTCTGTCATCGATGGTCACTCCAAGTGATTTTGCAGTAGTGACCTGGCTAACTTCATCTTTCAAGGCGAGGTTAAGTGCGATAAGACAATGATATGAAAATGAGTTTTTATTTTCATGTAAATAAAACTCATTTTCACAAGAAAGGTTTTGCACTTAGCCTCGTTTTAAAAGTGAGAGTTTTTGGAACTCGGTAATGGCCTATCAAAAAAATCGACGAAGATGCCATTTTTATAGAGGCTCATATGGTGTAAGAATTTGGCGCGGGGCCTTTCATTCAAGATCAGGTATACGTTGAAGAAGATTTTCAAAACATAACTTAATCAAAACTGAACTGTAGCGTCCCGGACCTCTAGCGTCTTTATGGTGGTAGATCAACGATACGCGGGTTACTTAAGTCACAGTTTTTTTCTTTTTGTGTTTTTAAACAAACCTACCTGGATAATAACGTTGCCATTTTTAATCGTTCCATCGTATCAACATTGCCGCTAATACCTACAATTAACAGAAAGAATTTTAGAAGATGGTTATCATAGCGATGTCGGTTTTACAGAAATTCATCATCACAGGGACATCAATTCTGCTTACTTTACCACTAAAAGTAGAAAACAAAAAAGTCAAACATGCGGGAAAGAGAATCAAGCAAAGGCCACTGATCGTCCTGATCAGTTTAGCCTGAGAAAATAAGTAGCGATGCATTAAACTCATGATATCTCGGCAAATTGTAACTAAGGGTTGATTTGCACTGTTCCGTAATTTTTACGTGCGTACACAAGTAAAAAAAAACGCGACAGTGGAAATCAACCCTAAGGCAGAGCATTTCCTTCTCCGATTAAGAAAAATGGCCGAATTAATATAGACATATAAAGAGGTCTAATTTCTGCTCCTCTCACAACAATAAATCGTTTTTTTTTCTTTCATATCTCAGGCCAGTTACATCCGATACAACTGGCTTGGGGCCCACTGAGAATTATATCCAGAGAAATCATTCCAGTTCAGGTTGCAAGCAAACTCTCCTGCACCTCGATGTATTTCTTCCCGAGCCGAGAGCTTGCTTGAAGGCTTAAAGGCTTACATGATTTTAGTTCTTTCACAATTTCTGCGTCAAAGTTTATTCTATCAACTGCAGCGGTGTCAAAGTAGGAACGGAAGATTTCTTTGACCTGTTGAAGAAAAGTGAAGCTACATTAGTCGCCCAATTTAATTGAAATACTGTAATGAAAATGTCTCAGCTATTTTGTACCTCATTGGAAGTAAAATACTAAAAAAATATATGAAGTGAAGATGTTGGCAGCACAAGTTTACAAAACTCTGCGCGACTGTCCTAAAACCAACATGACAAAAACGCGGCGAATAATCGAAAAAAAGAGGAGAAGAGTGAACAAACGCGAACGTCTTCTAATCCTCTGAGAGATCACAAGGCTTGATTGTAAGGAGTGACTAAAAATAAAAACTAACATCACAAGATATGAACCCTAAATCTAAAGCTTTTATGATTTTTTGGAGATATATCATCTCAGTCATCAATTACAGGATGGGCGTGCACATGTAGTGACAAAATATATTAGAAGATCAGATAAACGAAATAGTGCACTACAACAAGTCTTTCTTGTCATTTCTGTATTAAAATATAATGCAAAGTCTACTTTACCTCTTTAATGAGCAAAACCTCTTCTTCTTTTGTTATTTCTGGGGTGAAAATTCTCTTATTGAAGTCCTCTGGAATAACAAATATAGCACCGAAGTAGAGGTGAGTAGCAGATGATATTCAAGAGCGCGAAAAGAGCTAATCACTGGTCTTATAAACACAAATTTACTTAAGTCTATCTAACCTGAGATCACGCCCAATTTTATATTAGCAGCTTTCATGCCTTCTCCCATCAGTCTTGCGTAGTCGTGCCAAAATTGGGCCTGAAATAACTAGTCTTAAACGTTTAAGCTGCTGAGGCCAGATTTCGTTTCGCCCTTTCCACCGGAGTTTTATTTACCAAGTGAGACAAAAATACAGTCTGATCTCAGGGTAAGTCTACCATGCCTTTATTGAAAGGACATTATCGTGAACAAAGTAGAATGAACGAAGAAGTGTATATTCTCTATGTCATTTTGAAATCTTTGATCACAGTGTCTGTGTGTGTCTCGGTATTAAATGAAAGAAGATCATCGCAGTATACAGACGCAACTATTGGAGATACGAAATGAAAGCCTCACATTAAAAATTCAGGTTCCCAGTTGGCCTGTTAGCTCAACTGGTAGAGCGCTGCACTGGTATTGCAGAGGTCAAGAGTTTGAATCCTATTCAAGCCTGAATTTTTTAGGCCTTCTTTTTGCAACTGGGATGAGATTCTTCCATTGAACATTTTTTTTATCATACCAACGGTAAGGCAAAATTGAAGTATGTTCAATGCTCCTTCACTTTTCATAAACTGCATGAAAGGAAATAAGGCGGATTGTGCTTGAAGAATGTCTGCTATTGACAAATGAAGAGCCTGCAAATTAAAACAACGAGAAGAACATAAGCATACACTGTAACGTAGGCTGTTGACAAATGAAGAGTTTGAGCCAACTTCATAAAACTTTACGTCGGACGTCAGTAACAGCTATACAGCGCACAGGCTTTAACTCTCATGTAACTCTTGTGGAGAGTAATTAAGGGAGTGATTAACTTACCGAGTTTGTAAGTGGAACTCGCGGTTTGGCAAACTTCGCTAGTAGAGGAACTTTAGGACCCGGTGGCTCATCAGAAGCCACCATCTGGGGGCAAAAACGTCAGAACTGATGTTGGATTCAGATGTTACTCCTTAATTTCTAAATAAAGGACATGCTTTAACGTAAAGCACGTTAGACTTTTTCGCCGTTTCTCCGTAATCCTATTAGTAACAGTCTAAACGGAAAAACAAAGAGCCAGGCAAAAACAGCAAACAATGATATGTCTTAGTCATGTTCGACCGACTGTGACATAATACTGTGGGAGTGTATGTAGATGGCTCCACGGTTTAATAAGCTCATGACGCGGCTACTGTTTTTCGTTGCCGCGCGATGTTTGAACGAGTTAGAGCCGTCAACGAGTGAATGAAATATTTCCTGTAGCAAAAAAAGCTGACGACATTATGTTAACTTAAAATAACATGCACCGAAGAAACGCTAAAACAGGCCACTTACTGGTTCTTTGTCCAACAATATCAGGAGGAAGTTGTTAACAAAATCCTTTCAAGAAATGAGAAGTCAGATTAAATTATTAAAACGAAGAAATAAACTTCTTCAAAGTCATGCATCGTTTTATTGTGTAGCCATAGCAACGCAGATCTTTTCACATGTAAAGGTATCATGTTTTCGCGCAAAAGTTCACTTGGTATTTCATTGGTGTTTACAATTGAGTTTTAGGCCCCCCTCCACATGTATCCGTTTTTGTTTGAAAACGAATATTTTTCCTCGGTTTGGCCTACATGGCGTCCACACGTATCCCGTGAAAACGGTCACCGAAAAAGGCATTTTTTTTCTCCAGAGTGGAGATTTTTGAAAACGCCAGCTTCTCATTTACGTGTGGACGGACTTAAACAGAGGTTTTCGGCTTCGCTGATGTAATACATCAGTATACTTCTAGCATGACGCATGCTACGTAAACGCTGGTTTTCACGCTTATGATTCAGTGAAAATCAAAAATTGCAGTCGTAAGCAGAGTCATAAGCGCGACGGAATCGCAGTCGGAAGAATCAGAACGTTTCCATTTTCGTCAGACTCCGTTTATGACTTCGTCGCTTACGATCTAGTGAAAACCAGATTGTCGGACTCGGAAGCAAAAGGGGAAAGATAAACCAATCATAATGCACGTTCCCACGCTTTGTGATTGGTTTGGTTCTTCCGCTTGTGCTTGCGACTCCGACGACCCAGTTTTTACTTGATCGTAAACGACGGAGTAGTAAGCGGAATCAGAAGGAACACAACGTTGTTTTCACTAGATCGTAAAGTTCTACGCTTCTAAGCACGACTTCGACTCCATCGCTGGTGAAAACGAGCCTTTAGGTGATAACATAACTTATCGTCATAGCGGCCTTTCCCTTGATTATATATGTTGAACACCCTGGGAACTTGAAGGGTTAAAGCCACTAAATTCCGTACTCTTTTCTCTTTTTTTCAACTTACAGGGTCAGAAAGTTTGTCAGCTGCTGATAAAAAGACTGCACTGGCTAATAACTCTCGTAGCAAAGATACAAGGCTCCTGAAATAGAATGCAACAGTCGCCTCAATTTCTACACAGATAACCACGGTCCAACAACAGAAAAATTCACAAAACCAGGAACAGCAGTTCAGAGCTTAAGGTTACCATTTTCACTGTTAAAGGTTCAAGAAACTTTACCTTATGCTGTTGATGTACTTGTTGTTATTTTGGTAAAAAATGTTTTCGGTGTTTGAAGACTGAAAACGCGTTCTTACTGCGCCGTGTTTCAAAACAAATATAATCGGTCATGAAGCATACATTTAAAACGCAAAAATGAAACTTTAAACCTAAAATACAAGTGTTCTCCCTTGTCCGTTCAAATTAAAACTTAAAGATCGATTTCGAGGAAAGAAGAAACGAAATTTTTATAGAAAATACCTCCCAGAGCAAGGATAAGAACCAACAAAAAAATCAACCAAACTTGCGCCAGTTATTGTTTTGCGACATTGCTGCGAAACGAGATGAAAAGCAATTTTGCGCGTCTTAGTTCAATTACCACTTACGAATCAACAACTTAGGTTGTTGGAGGCTGTGAAAAGTTGTTTCAGAAAGTAGAGAGTAGTTTTACTTTTTGCAACAGCGTTTTACAACCTGTAACAACTTGATCTGTTGCAAGACAGGCTTGACTCGTGGATGCCGGCCGAGAAAACGCCGGGCGCAAAATATGAGTATTCAACTCCTTTTGTAGCAATATTCCAAAACAAGTTGGATATCCCTTAAGGATCAATTGAAGTTTCTGGGTAACTGACCACATGCCCCTCTCCTAGGTCGTACTTTTGCCCTAAGTGAGAAGTAAGTATTAATGATGACTTAGGGGAGGGGTAGGTGGGTAGAAACCTTTGCACGTTTTGTTGCTCGTTTTACCGTCGCTTAAGATGGACACGTATTAGGATGTAGGGATGGCTCATAGCAAGACTGCTTTCTTATAACGTACCTGCATCGCAAGGCATTTGGAGGTAACAGAAAGGGGAGAATGCTCTCTGATAGTTTTCTCAGATACTGAAGTTCCATTGGTCGGCTTTGCAGTGCACAGTGCATTCTGGGATTAAATTGTTCTAGAATAGCTGTCTGTAGACTAGTGGAACGTGACAATGTTACTGTACGAGGGAAAAGAATTAAGGTAAGTTGATCACTACAGATTACTTTTTGAATGTTAAATTTTCAATCTTTTGAGTCACATCATTCACGATCAGACTACTAATGTCCTCAACAATAATAATACGTACGTTTGTGCCTGATACATTGGCACTAAAAAAGCCTCCAATACGTTATCCTTCATCCTTGCCACCTCTCAAGAGGCTTATTACCGCTCATTTGCTTCGAATTTATTTCCTGCGCCACACTCTGATGAAACTGTTACTAGGGAGGTCTTAGCTAGCCTGCGTAGCAAGCGTTTCCGTGTGGTTTAGGAGCAAAGAACGAGGAACGAGAGTCAAAGACCACGCTTGGCTCTTGTACTTTCATTTCTCGCTCGGCCAAAACCGAGAATCCCGTTCCTCGGTCTTTCTTTGCTCCAAAACCAAACGAAAACGCTTGCTACGCAGACTAGGGAGGTCTAAAAGTCTTGCCTTCTCACTGACTGTTATCAAGTGAACATTACTTCATGTAACATTAGTTCCCTAAAATTGCATGAATTGTACATGCAGTCAAATCGATTTCCGGAATGTTAGGCAAATAAACATAAAAAATAAAGAAAGTGAATATAAATATATATATCACTTTAAATCAACACTCATGATGGTAGTTTAAGTAACCTTTTTCCTTGGCTCTAAGGTACATCTCTAAATGCTTTAATCCTTCTTTCCCCAAGTTTTCTGTGACTAGAGTTGGAATGTCGATCTGCAAAGTAAGCAACACCATAAATAAAGAACATTTTCCCCTGTATCAGCATGCATCCATTACACTGGCAGTTCAATTTCAATATCTGATAAAAGGGATTCACATTCATGTATTCATATTAAACTGGAGCCATAACCTACTTCACAGTCGTACAGCTACAAGAGTGAATGAATCATTCTAATACAATTTTTATAGATAATACATAATTAAGTCAAAAGCACTACAATGACCTGTACTAATTTTGGATATAAGTCATTCTATAAAACATGCACAAGAAGTTCCCAATTTAAATCAAGTTTGATTGCCCTATGTTAAATGCAAAGTCATAGTTTAATAATATATTCAAAACACAGGTCCTGTTGGTATTCACCTTTTCTATGCTAATAATATACCAGAAAAAAAAAATTATTGAATCTGATTGGCTGTGAGCAATGCAGGTTTTACTATAAACAGCACAAAAACAAGGATTTCTGGGTTCTCAATGGTGACCACTATAAACAGGTTCCAATACCCTGTAATTTTGACAGGTAAATGTTTTCATGTATATATTCTGAAGGGTTAATCACAACTTTTCTCCTTCAATTTGGAATTCATTAGCACTTGTATGTTTTTTCAAAAAGCTCAAATTACAATTTTGATACTTTTTGAAAAACAATCTCGGGCAAATAAAAAAATTCCAAATTGATCTCGAAGTCACTTGATACCTTGACATACACTATTTGATTATTTCATCTCAAAATGAAAAGCTGCTTTACCTTACGTATCCTTTTTATAAGCACAGCTGCCATATATCTGATGCTTGTGCGGATTTCATCAATACAAGTTTCACTACAGCTTAATTCCCTAAACAGTGGTAGACAGTGTTTGTAAGAAAAGGCAATTAATAAAGGTAACAAAGTCATATCAAGTGAAGTTTTGTCTCCCAAAGCCAGAGTTTTGTCACTATAACTATAGTTTATAGTTATGTTATGTCACCAAAATTTTATATTGTGTGTTTTTTTCCTGTTTTTATAACTGACTAACCTGTACCAATTGTAGATATAGTTCTGAAGAAGAAGACTAAGAAACTGAAAAAAAGTAAAATAAGAAAAATCGTTAGGCCGTAGTCATGTCATTCATGGATAGCACTGTCAATGCCAACTTACTCTCAAGTCTAAAAATTACTTATACAAATACTTTTAAAAGTATCACTAAACATTTAATTTAAATAATATAAATTGAGTAAAATCAGACCTCTTGCAAGGCACTGTCCACTGATTCTGGGATGAGGAGATCCTCCCATGGCTAGGATAAGAAATGTAGAGTATGGTAATATTGTTGAAAAGGAACATTAAAAATGTAGCTGGAAATAAGCTTGTGCAAATGGAATATAGGCAAAATACATGTATATTAAGTTAAAGTAATTTGCAAAAATCGCTTTGACGTTTGACTTTCAAAGGCTGATTCAAATGCTTGTCTTAAAAATATTTGGGTCACACTACAATTTACATCGCACCCCTCAATGAAGTACACTGTAGAGTGTTCCTTATAGTGTGGTGAAAAATAATTTTGATTCTTTATAGGGTAGGTCCTGGGTGGTGGAATGACCATAGCTAGAGTAAGCCGATCCCTATTACATTTTTAGGATGCTCATTTAGTACTTGCTTTCCTTTCTCTTACATAAAAAGGCTGTTCAAGAATGCTGGTTTCACTGCATTGACTGAACAGCAATTCAACAATATTAACGTAGCTCCATGGTAACAGGATTGCTTAATATTAAAGGAATACACTGGAACTGAAATAATTTCTGTTTACAAAACTTACCTTGAGCTTTGCCCTTGAAATTTCTGGTCTTATTGTGGGAAAAATAAAGAAAAAGTTCATCTTACTCAGCTTGAGTGCTCAAAATTATTCTTTTCCTTTTATAAACAATTTATTACAATAATTATTATTGGATAAGGTTTTTGTGATCCAGGAACATGATGAAGGTCGAGGTAAGTGTTTTCAGCCAAGCAGAAGTGGCGCTAGCTGATAACACTTTCCTTACTCTGGATAATTCACAAAACTAAATCTACTGATTGATTCATAATACACTGATATAAAAAATAACAACAAACACATAGCTGTTGCACTGAACACAGTCTCTTTGTGATATTTCTCTTGGAAATCATGCATTTAACTTGATGCGCAACCTACAGATTAGTGATTAATTAACAAACTAATCTTTAGATTGTGCTGACAATTTTCTAAAATTAGCTGTGGGTGGGCCTTTACTGCCCATAAAAAGAAAGACATTGAGTACAATTTTTAATAACAATAACTACTGGACAACATATAGTACTCAGTTGAATTAATTCTCCTTCTACTGTGTCATGCTGTCAGTAGCATGTGATTATTTATAATTACGTTTGTGCAAAGAAATGCAATACATCATCTTTACTCCGTTCTTAGATTGGTTTTCATATTTTATTTTTTATTATCATCGTTCTACAACAATGAGGTACCAGGCTTTATTATTAACCACACAATGAATTATCAAAAGTTGTTGCATATACTGCATGATAGGGTTTAAATACGTGAACAAACAAAAGTCACGTTTGTAATACAGAGGAATTGTGTTTGATTCACCTCTTATAATATGGATTTGTTTCACCCTGTTGCCCCTGTTGTGGATTGTTTTACATGGAAAAAAGATACAAAACATAATGTAACATAATTATCAAGAAATAGATTTCTCACCTATGACGTTGACATTTACGGTTTCCACAAATAGTACATGTCCCTGAAACAACTCTTTGTTGCTGATCAAGATCCTCATAATTCTAGTAAGAAATGAATAAAAATCTAGAATATTTGTTGCATCCTTTCAAATTTTCTTGGTTTGAAGAAATTTGCTTAAAGCAGCTTATTTTTTTTATTTTTCTTTGACTCGGATCCACCAAGAAAACTTCTCTGCAAAATACATTTCTGAACCAGAGAAACACTCATTTGAGAAGGAGGAACAGCAGGATGAGAAGACGAAGAAGAAGAAGAAAAAAAAAACACCATGCAGAATTTAAATTAATTTTGAAGACTTGTTTGGTTTACTTACTCTTTTTCGAGGGCCCCAGTGTAATAGAAAAGATGGCAGAACTGAACAACAGCTAAATAAAGAAAACAAATTTGCTTGGCTAAACAACCCAGTCATAAAAATAATGCTGGCCCAGATCATAGACCTCTTTCATAGTGGTGGCCCATTTATTTTTTCTTTGAAATGAACATAAATGAGCCTTTCTGGTCTCATATAAAAGATTATATTAATAGTCCTCCATTATGAAAGAAGTCTTTTTGGGTTAATAATACCTGCTATGTGTATGTATAAATTTCATGTCTTGCACGTTCCCACACTGTAGCACAAAAAATACCCAGAAAGACACTGAAGCAAAGAAGTAAGAACCAACTTCCATGTAGTAATTTAATTATATACATTGCTAAAAACAATTGTCAATAATTACCCGGTAACCCAAAACTATTCCATTTTCACAATGACCTAACTTTTAATCCTTAAAAGTATTCTTACACATATGTACATTAAATAAATAGATAATCTGAGGATCAAGGTAAATAGACATGACAGTTGACTACATAAAACTTAGTCTTCTTCATGTAACTTACCTAAATACAACAAATCCTACTGCAACACCAAAGGCAACAACCCATATTCCAATGAGTAAGGTGGGACAACTAAGAGAAAAGAAAATAACAAGTGTTTAACATATGGATCAGTTTAATATAAGTTCAGCTATCGACCATGTCTTTCAATCTAATTAAGTATGTCTAAATTAAAGGAACACTTAGCTAGAGTAGATAGACTAGTGTCTGCTATCACAACTGAACTGAACTGAACTCAGCTGAACTGAACTCAGTTGCACTCAGATTGAACTTCAGAAGATGACCCTTACCTCCCCCATGCCCTTCCTTCCCGCCCCTCCACTCAAGCTGGGGCTGTACAAGACAGCTGTCCTTCACTCATGTAAACATTTGAGAAAGTTATTGACATAAAGTAAAACAAAAATCTTTGTAATATGAACTAAATTTCAGTAATTTTAACAGAAAAACTATCAACATTTTATTCAGTATATTAGAAACCACATAAACATTTGCTAACCCACCCCTTCCATCAAAACTTGAATGAAATCCTTCATGCATCCAAACTTGGATAAATTGTGATTACTCCAAAAGTCCTCTCCCATTCTAACCCAGACTATAACTATAGGAAACGATCATTCCTTCCATTTAAGCTTGTTTGTGACTTAACAGCCCATACTTTCTCAGCCCATCCAAACTTGGATTGAGCATGATATCCCCCCGTGCTACCTTCCCATCCTGCCTTGAACTAAGTATGACTGCAAGAGGTCATAAAGTCACAGCGCTCGGTGCAGACTAACACAGGACCTTACGTGTCGATCGAAATTGATCATCAGAAAGCTAGTCGATAAGTCGATGGTGCTCATCATTTGTCAATCTGTCAGCTTCAAACTGGAAATAAATGCTTGGTCCAACTTAAGTTTAAAAGACAAATATCTTCGTGGATTGTACCGTCAATTTATATTTTACTTTAAGCTTATATGCATGGTATGTACCGGTGCGCGCGGTATAAATATGGACATTTCATTAATTTCAATTTTCAGTTCATGATGAGTGAAGAGCTACTATATAGAAAATTTTCTTGGCAATATTTCCGTATAATCCCATACATTAAGACTTATTTAATTAAGCTATTTGATTGCGCAGATAAAAAATGTAGAATCAAAGATCAATCCAGTTACAGACCGATAGACTCACCTGTAAAACTGAAATGTGAAAATAAATACAAAAAATGCTCCTGAAGCCAGTACAGGTCGAATACTATCAAAATCGCGCCGCTCAAATGTGTTCATTTCTCACAGAAATTAAGATTTGTTGCAGCCATCGTCACTCAGGATCTCGTTGACTTCCTTTCCTCTTTCCTGGTCGTGTAAACTTACAAAAAAAGGTACAAATTCATGTAGCTTATATGAATGAAAAAAATCTCATCCCGGGCCTGCCCAGTTCCAGACCCCCGCATTCCGAGCATGAGCCACAGGCATACCATGCTAAGACACGCGCTCTTGCAAGTTTGCACTGCAGTGAATCTTACTTTGGTGGACACATGGAATATTCTGTAAGCCCTGAATCAGTGACAGTACGATTAACGAATGATTCATTTGGCATAGTACGCGGTCAAAGAACACAAAATAATACTGTTTGTAAGATCCAAGTGTAACATTTTTTCTATTTTTCGTTTTTGCGTAATTTGTTTTTCCTTTGCGTACGCAAATTAGTTTATACTTCTTTTCGTCCTTTTGTTTAGTCTTTTTTTTTGCGTTAATTTAGGTGTTTATTCCTTTCTGTCAGTTTTCGCGCCCTCGTTAGCGTTTCTTTGCTGTTTCATCTTCATTAGCGCCTTTCTAAGTTTCTATAGTTTTGTTTTCCGCATGTTCTAGCGTATTTTTCATATATCGTAATTTTGCAGTACAGTTTGGGCAGTTCATTTTTGGTTCGCGCTTAGCGCAGTTCTGTTTTAGTTTCTTGCTAGTCCCTAGCTTCGCGTTATTCGCAGTCCGCTTCAGCAGTTTTCTCTGGCCGAAACAATTTTCAATCCACGCCGTTTGTATGTGCACTCATTAAATCTTCATTCTTATTTGGTTTGTGGCGTTGTCATTAAAAGGCCAAGAGACTTTACGCTTGTTGCAGTTTCACTGTTTATTCAGTATTCAAAGTATAAAACAGTAAAACTCCGCAAAATTGAAAGTATAGTCACACTTACTCCCGAGAACTCGAACTAGTTATAAAGAAAACGAAAAAAGTTCGAGTTAGGAAGCAAATAACTGGAATCTGCAAAATTTCGAAAATTTACAGACGTTTGTATGGTGGGGGGGGGACGCAAGTTTTATCACTCCCTGCTCTCGCCGGGCGCGTGACGTGATGACGACTTGGGCAGATTCAGCCCAGCCATAGGTTCACCTAACCTATACAGTCAGCTCTCTCTAAGACGGACACCTTCCGGACCGGCCATGTATTTCCGTCTCAAAGAGGTGTCCGGCTTATACTATAGAGGGTCGAGGTTAGCCTGCGTAGCAGGGGCTTGAAAGAAAGAAACAAACAAACAAAGAACCGACGCGCGCGAGAGAGACGCGCAGGGGAGGTTCCCTCCCCTTGCGTGTCTCCCTCGCGCGCACGTTCTTTTTTGCGCCTACTACTTCCAAGCGCCGTGTGCTACGCATTCTAGGTCGAGATAAGGCCGGACACCAGTAATTTTAAAGCTGAACCTATTCGCAATGAATACAGGTCTGTTTAACTTGTACAAAACAGCTAAAACTGGAACATTGTAACAAAAAAGTGGAACTATTTTCTCATTGTGCAATCAAAGGTTCATTACAAGCAAACCATCACGGCTTCGTGGTCTAAAACGAGCACAACATATCAAAAAATTTCAATTTACTATCACGTAGAGCACCTACATTTCCGCTTGCAGGTATACAGAAAGCACTTTCCAATTGTCCGTTGACGGTTTCAAAAGCGACCGTTGTCCGTCTTTAATAGAGGTGTCCGTTTTAAAGAGTGTAAAGTCACAGTAAAATGACTGAAAACGGTAGGGACCAACACCAGGTGTCCGCCTTAGAAAGGTGTCCGTTAAGAGACGGTTGACTGTACCAAGCGAGTGCCCGTAAAACGCGGGTTCGGGGTCGTGGTCTATCTTTTTTTAAAGAATGCTGTTTTAGGGTTAGGGTTAAGGTTAGGGTTATGTTAGGGTTATTTAGCGTTAGGGTTAGGGCCATTGTCAGCCCTGACCCTAACCCTAACCCTAAAACAGCATTACAATAAATAAAAAAAGGGACACTTCGACCCCGACCCCGACCTCGGCGCCGCTTTTTACTGACACCAGTACCAAGTTCTTCTTTTCCCGTGAGTACTATTGTTAGAAAGCTCCAGCCCGCTCGTCCACTTGGGAGCCTGTTTAGGCGCTCAGTTGGTTGCACTTCTTTGTCCTTTTTTCTCTCTGCGGTAAGTTGCCGCGCGTTTCTTGAACCTTGTCATGTAAAATGAAACGGCTACTGCCAATTAATGGGGGCATACATGACGTACTTACCACAATACGTGAAGCATACATGAGAGTTCTAAACAAAAATTCTAAGATGGAGGACAAATCAGAGGTGTGTAAACAGTAAAGTAGTGAAATTGCAGATACTGTAATTCATACGACTTAATGATAAGCGTATTTTATAAAATATTTTATTGTTAAACAATGTGGTAAGCCCAAGCTTAAAATTTTTTCTCTGCACCCTTTTAAGACGTCAAGAAAACGGAAGAGGGCGAAAGAAGAAACTTCCGATGTGCATATTCCTGGTATGTTGAGATAAAAAAATATAACTTAAATGTCATGCTACTTTTTCAGTTACTAGTGGGTGAAGTTTGGTTTAAAATAAGCTTGTGGTCTTTGTAACTAGATTCTTTTTTTTTGTTGTTGTTGTTTTTATCTTTGGTAAAACTTCCGTAAAACTCCATACATTTATTATGCATGCAGCAATTTCATGCTGTTTCTCGCAATGAGTTAATATGAAGAGAGTCAAAATGAGTATGTATAATAAATGTATGGGGCTGTGGGGAAATCTTAAGTTTTCTTCTTTTTTTGCATGTGCATGATTTGTAATGAAAAGAGTAGAAAAAAAGAATTTTAAAATAGCTTCGCTCAAGCACCAATACTTTTTATATCGCTACAGTAGTATGCTCACTCTGATTGCCTGCTAATTGGGCAAGTTTTTTTTAGTAGCCAGGTGTCCAAGGCATACATAATTTGTGTTTAACTTGATAGTGGACATCAATTTTATAGTCAGTTGAGATCTCTTATACTAGAGGTAATCAATGATGATTGATGATGGATCCATGTTCATCACTACCTTACGGAAACGAAATTGAGACAAAAGAAGTCCAGTTTCCCGGCCGAGATGTCCTTGATAAAATTAATAGGTGCAGTTAATTTGCAGTCGCCCGTGATAGCTCGAAAATTTCTGCCTTAGTGCCACAGGAACACCAGATTAGGATGCGTTTGGCCAAAAAGCGAAAAGGGTATCCACCGACCAGTGTCACATGACCATATCACAGGCTCTAGTGTACAACTCATTGAGGTGATGTGTTTTTTTTCCCAACCCCTCCCCATCCCACAAACAACATTAGACTCATTTATCCAGAATTTTTCCCTAGTTTCAACTTTGAATAGGGTGGGGGAGGGGGAACTGCAAGATATTTTCTAAAAGGTTGCACTGTTTTGTGAGGGCAACCAGGAGCTACAGAAACTTTATGACTGCTGCATTACTGTCCCAAGGACTTTTGTCTAGGATTGTAGCTTCATTTGACAAACATCCTGCTTACTGCTAGGATTCAATGTCAACATATGTGCTGATGAACAATGGTGGAAATGTGATAGTGAATCTTAAGCCTGGTGATTAAAATAATGAGAAACATGTATTTTTTAGTCAGCGACACAGGCAGCCCAAAAGAACAAAATCTGAGTCTGACTCCCTACAGGAGTTGAACCGATGACTTTCTGGTTGTCTCCCAACCAAGTTCCCTGATTGGGACTTGTCTCCCTCTTCCAAATTTGGGATTTTTGTGGGTATTCTTTAAATACCCTAAAATATCCAAAAATGGGAATCTGTTATTTTTTCCTGTGATGTTAACATAGGAAAGAAAAGAAAGAAGAAAGGGAAGAGTGCAAAGAGAAAAGAAAAAAGAAGGAGGATAGCAGAGGCAAGAAAGGTTTGCAAACAGTTATTGGTATTTTATATAATCATGCATCTGTTATTTTTACAAGATTTACTGAAGAAAATTGCAGACGTAAGGGTAATATTAAATTATTGTTGTAGGTAAAGTCTGTTCTCATGTTTAACCAGTGTAATATTCAACCTACAATCGGCGACAAAATATTATTGTTGAGACATTGTACTCAAATTGGGTAACTTCAGAGAACAAAAAAGTCCACACCCCTCCCCTGCCCCTCTATTCAAAGTTGGGGTGTTTGTTGTTTTCTGTTGGTAGCACAAACATCGGCACAACATTGCATGGAGGGGATGGGGGAGGAAAAGCTGTATTTCCTCCTTTTGAAGTCAGTGTAACATACAAAAAGCCCAGTTTAGGGTGAAGTGTCTCAACTCATTTTGTCGCCAGTTGTAGGTTTTAAGGTTAGTAGTCTGTGAATACAGTGGTCTCTCCTGGCTCCTTGCCACTAGGACATCTTGCAAGGAAAAAAATCTTCACCTCAACAAGAGAAATTCCATGCTGATGATGTTAATCAATGTTTTTTTTTTCATTGTTTTCCAGTTATTTTAAATTTGTTCCAATTTAATTTCTCCTGGTCCATTGATGCTAAATGGGAGTGCAAGAAAATAAATTTCAAATTTCACAGGAATTGCGAAAACACAGGTAAAATCGTCATGCATAAGATTTGATTTTGTGAAATTTGAAGCATTTGAAGTTTGTTTTCTTGGCCTCCCATAAGAACCTTTTCTTTGGAGTTATTTCATAAAACTTATTACATTTATAGCCCTCGAAAAGAGTAAAAAAGAGTGCAATCTGCTTGGTTTTAGTCCACTGAAGGTTGAAATTACTCAAAGAGTAATGGATTTCGTCTCAAACTTTCTTTCAGCAAAAGGTCAATCATGGGCAAGAGGATCTTTTCACAGCTGAAAATAGCCAGCTCCAGCCAACAGTCAACCCTTATACAGAACATCTTTTCCAAGCAGGAAATGTCCATCATGCCCGCTCACCAGTAAAGATCTCAAGCATACCAGAGCTTATTTTATTTGCATTAACACCCGATGATGCAGTTGTCCCTGATTGGTGTGATATCATGAATGTTAGAAGCATACAGAAAGTTGTTATTGTCCTTGTTAGCGGCATTGGAGCTGTGGAATTTAATAAACACCAAGAGCACTTTTCCCAGTGTAACACACTCTTTGAAAAGGTAATCTCTTGCTGACTCTCCTTTATATGATTATAATTTCTTCAAATCAGATCTATACCATAAATGACCTATAAATACCCAGGGCTTCTATTTAAGTTTAGGGGTCCAAGACGGGTGTTTGATGTGGATAGGAGGCGTTACAAAAAAAGGGAGAGGCATTTATTCTTATAACAGTACTGTAACAAGCTCAACAAAACTAATATGCTTTCAGCAAAAAAATTGAGAGAGTTTAGAAATAGCAGAATATCCACTCCTTTAATTGATACGTCTAGGCCATCTAGAGATCCATATCGCTCTTTCAAATCCCAACCTCAAGGTCAGAATTCTCACCCTGGGTTATTGTACTGCCATCATTAGTCTATCCTTACTTTGAACTTGACATTCATGAACAAGATGAAATACACAAACTCTCAGGATAATCAAGCAAGAAACTGAATGAATTGAATGATTTTGCTTCTTTTTGCTATTAAATTCCTAGTATTTTGAAGCAATTCTTATAGGGGGCGTGTATTAGAAGGGGTGTTTATTAGAACGGGGTGTCTAATACATTTTTAACAGTGCATGGAGGAGGCGTTTTTTTGCAAGTGGGTGTTTATTGCATCATTTACAGTAGATATACACTTCTTAATAGTTAAAACTACTATACTAGTAAATAATATGCTGATCAGTAGAGAAAAGGATGTATTATTTAAATATTGATGATTTTGCCCTTTAAGTAATTTCCAATTATTTTTTCATATGTAAATTTAGTTCTATAAATTCTTATCAGTAAGGACTGCAAGAGAAATATGTTTCACTTAATTTAGTGGAGATTTAAGCAAAACAAATATGCTAATAATTCTTCCATTGGTTCTTTCTTCCAACAATGTTTTACATAGCTAACTTTGTTCTTGGGACAAAGGGTGGCATAATGGTGAGAGGACTTGACTCCCACAAATGTACCTTGGTCAGAATCCCAGAAGCAACACCATACACTTTATGTGGGCTGAGATTTTCCTCTGGGTACTCCAGTTTTCCCCTGTAGTGTTCAACCTGATAATATACAACTACAAGTATATTGAACGGCTTCAAAAACTCTGATATAGGTCAACTCATTCTTGCAATTACTGTAAAATTATTTAGATTTGGGGTTATTTTGGTCTAAAAAATTGACGTAAAGTTAAGCTTTATCAGATATAAAGACACTCATTATTAAAACATTAAGTTTTTTTGTTTTTTTCTTTATGAATATTAATAAGATGTGATATATTTTTTATTTATTATATAAAACTGTGATAATGAAGCCATACCGGGTACGGATTTTGTGTCTCTTAAATGGACTCCTTTTTAAAAGGGGCTTCCTTGTAAGGAAAGTTTGATAATGCATTTACATTGTTAAAATATCGTTTTCATTCTTTAAGTTCTTTTTTTTTCAGTGTGTGGCAACTTTCGCCTCAGGTCCAGATATTTCCGTACGGCTACCTCCGGAAAGTTTATTATCCGTAGACATTTCAAAACAAGAGAAAAAGAGGAGGAAACACGCTAAACAGAATGGTAAGAGTATTCATATCCAGTGTGAGCAAATATTGCCGCCGACACATTAATTGTGGACAGTGCCTCTTTCAGCCCAAAATATTCTGTATTGACGGCATAAATTTGTCCAGAATCTGGTGAAGAGCTCTTATTGGTTGATTTAGTAACATTTCACTCTGACGGCAGTTGTTTATGATTAAGAGACAAAAGACTTAAGGTCACAACAATCAATTCTACAAAGTGATGAATCTACTATGAAACACTCCAAATATACTGAAAGCAAATTTTGCTTTTCAAGAACTATTTCACCTTTGGTGGTGTCAAATTTGCAGGATTATCACAAGAGCCATACGGCCGCACGTGCAATTTCCGTGGAAAACCATATGACAAAAAAAAAGTCCCGCACGAGGGCCTTACGCATCAAGTGATAGAGGCAGAAAAACGCGTACGGCCCTGCTAGAAAAGGGCGTACGAAACGAGGCAAATGCTGCCATGAACGCGTTTTCGCTCCGCCAGAAAAATTCAAAAACACAACGGTCATATGATAAAATGCTTATTGACTGAGTTAGGTCGGGTCGGACGTGAAGATATTTGGTTCTCAGTGTGGACGCACGGACCTCGTTGCGCTACAGTAGGTCCGTACGTCCAGACCTCGAGCCAAATATTTTCCCGTCTGGCCCTCCCACTCAGTCAATAAGTACATATAACTCAAAGAAAAAAACAAACTTGAAAAATTTTACATTTAGAATCTCATGACTACCAGTTATTTATGAAAGTATTGATTTATGTTAGCAGTTAGGAATTTTTGAGGCCAAAATGTAGACGTGTATTCACAAAGTATTGCTTTTTTTTTCTGGCATTGCATTAAATTACTATCTTTATTAAACGCAGCTGATACTCCAAAAGGAAGAGAGGATTATATTCTGACAACTGAGGAGATGCAGATGAATGATTACCCTCTCCCTGAAGATGATGATAATCATGCTGATTATAAATCGACACATAATGATGGTATGTAATAAACATTATTATTCTTTTAAAATATTTGTACGTTTCTGTTTGGCTAAAATCGCACGCATATTTAATCATAACCAGCTACCGTCGACCAAATTGGGAAGAATTTAGCCATACGTGAAAAAAAAAAACACAAAATTGCCATATTGAACAGTTAACCGAGAAGACCTCTGGACGAGTTTGAGTTGTTTTGGTGAGTGAGTACAAAATGGTGGAACACTTCAAAATGACCTCATCGAATCACAACAACATATTTTATCCAAAAAAACTGTTCTTTTAGGAACCACCAAATAGAGGAAAAGTCAATGACCAAGTTGTAAGCAGCTTTTATTGTCTCTGATAAGTGAATAAGTAATCAAAAATAAACAAACTGAAAATAATTATCGTTATTATTCATTCGAAATATTTCCCCAATTCTGATTGGCCAAAAGCACACGCATAATTCACCATAACCAGTTACTGATGACCAAATTTGGAAGAATTTTGTGTTTAACGAGGAAATGACGTCAAAAATGCAGACTTCTACAGGTTAATGCACCGGTAACCGAGAAGACCTGGGGACGAGGTTGAGTTGTTTTGGTTGTGAACTTGAAAAATGGCGGACATTTCACTCGTTTCAAGAGTAAGAACTAGGCGAAAAAACAGCTAAAAACATGGCAAGAACAGTAAGAAGACAACTCGAAGGGCGACATCTGCTATTTGGAGAATATTTGCGGAGCTGAACAACCTTAAACGTGCACTATCGAAGATGAACTTAACATCGATGGAGGTAAGCATGTTTAGCCATGTTCTTAAACTAAGAATTATTTTAAATGAATAATAAAACAATTATTGAACTCGGCTTTCGTATCATATGAAGAATTATGGAGATCTCGGACAGTGTTATCCGCCTCGGCATACAGCCTCGATGGATAACATCCTCCTCGATCTCCATAATTCTTCGTAAGATGCTCAGCCTCATTCATTAATTGTATAATTAATTGATCAGCACCTGCAATCAATTCAAACAGACAGAGATAATCGAGAGTGCAACGGTAATTACCATGCTTTTTTTGCAGTGTCGGTTTACTGTCGGTCAACTTTCGGTGAGCTGCAGGTATACTGTCGGCCAACTGTCGGCCGACTGTTGGTTTTCTCTCGGCCGAGCTCTTCTTCACTTTTACCCAACAATCTTTCTTGACAGAGACGGTCATTTGCATTGTCAAACAATAAAAGAAAAGCATGGGCTACCATTTTGTTCCTGAGTGCAATCAGGCACAGGAAAGCCATACATTCGTTTTTTCTGCCAAATTTGCAGGACCGCAGTTTGTTGAGAACCAAAAATTTGGCTACCATGACAACGTGACGTAACGGGTTCTCTTCTCTATTAAGAAAATCTCGCACTCGTAGTCTTCCTCGTTTTAGAATCGAAAGGTCTCTTTACTGCTCTACCCTACATTAGTCCAATGCCAGGTTACCGCAGTGGTTTGTCAGTGTTACCCATCCGTTACACAGATGAAGAGAAGCCAAGTTTCTCTTTTATAAGGGGAAGAACGCCATCGCGTCGCAAAAACTGTGCAAACGGTTACTAAAAACTATTTGTTTCTAGGTTTCATTTCAACCAAAGCGTACCAGAAATCTACCAGCACTTCAAACGAGTCCTCTTCACACGAGTCGCCAATGTATGCTGTTGACTGTGAGATGGTAGGTAGGCTTCTAAAACACTGCAATATTTACCATTTTTGTAAGGTAACATGTCAAGTCACTCGAAGGTCATCTCACCCGAAGTCATGTGGCCCGAACCGCAGAGTTAAATTAAGTTGGATTTGCACTTTCCCGTAATTTTTACGCGCGTAGCCACATAAATTTTACCCGCGTAAATAAAATAGAGCTAATAGAGTGAGTGATTTAGAGTCGCGTTCAAGGCAAACGACAAAAGTGAATATGTACCACGTGACCAAGTGTTCCCTTAGCTTGTGCTTTACTGTTCATTACTTCTTAGTTCTACCCTAAAATTAGTAGCTTCAGGTTAGCTCGGTCTATAACAATTGTTTTGGACTGTCTTAGCTGCACTTATTCTGTTTTACTAAATTCTCAACTTGCATCTGATGTCTCTAAATCTCTCTAATGTATGAAGTGCCGCGCGCAAACGTAGAAGTTGAGCGAGGTTCAACTTTACATTTACGCGCGACCTCTCATACACTATTCTATTTACGCACGTAAAAATAACGCCACAGTGGAAATCCACCTTTATACGTAGACACGTAGCCTACGTCACGGTGGCGGCGCTTAAAGGAGGAAGAAAAAGCGGGAAGGTAAAAGCGCGCGAGTGAGAAAAGAAGTTAACCTATTCCTTCCATCCTCCCTTCCATGTCTCCCCCTAAGTGTTTTTGTTTGTTTGCTTGTTTTTATAGTGTGAAACAGCAGAGGGATTGGAGCTAACAAGAATCTCAGTCGTCGATGAATCGTTCAATGTAATTTACGACACACTTGTTAAACCTACCAGGCCAATAATAGACTACAAAACGAAGTAAGTTATCTCAAGCTCTTCGCAATTAATCCAACTCGCTCAAATTATAGTTGACCAGTAGCTGAAATTTAAGGGGCAACTTTTGAAGCCGTAGTGGCTCGGCAATGGATATGAAGAGCAATGCAAGCCAAGACTTAAGTTTAGATATTTAGGGTTCAGCCTTGAAAACATATGTGTCTGTATATTTAGTGGCTTGTGGAGTGGTTGCCAACCAGGACCTGTTTTGTTGTTTGTTCCAAAGTGGGGCTGTATTCAGTAGGTTTGTCGAATATCAAGAGAGGATAGCTTTATCCTCTTATTTGTTTAGAAATACTTATTTATTTTCAGAAAGACTTTTAAAGTTATTGGTCCTTTTCACCAGATTTTAAGTTATGGGTCCGCAGAGAACAGCTGCCGAGGAAATAAGGCAGCGTCTGCAACGCAAAAAAAGACAGTTTCTTTTTTTTTTAATCGTACTAGTATTTTTTGTGACCTTGCCGGTATGGGTGCACCTGCTAACATGTGACAAGTGATCTGCAGTAAAAGTACAAGTAAACTAAAATGGAAACATTTCCGTAATGTCCTGCGCCCGAAAAAATCTTCTATAATACATTTCGGCAAACGACAAACTCAGGTTGAGAATTTCTCAAAATAAAACATGAAAAGATAAAAACAGTGTAAGACAATTCTTATGGATGGAAAAAAACGTTTAAAACTTAATTTTTTGTAGAAAACGTAAAGAAAAGTTCAAGAAACAGTCACATGGTACAAATTCACGTTTGCCGTGCCATACGCGACTCTAAATCTCTCTATTATCTATAGAAAATTACGCAAAAATAGCAACAACACAAAATCCATCAGTCTTACGGGAAATCCTCTAAGATCTTCAAGTTAAAGGTATAGATACTTACTTGCGTCTCCCCCCTTTTTTTGTGAAGGTTTAGTGGCATTACAAAGAAGACACTTGAAAATGTTACTACAACATTAGATGATGTCCAAAAATGTTTGATCGATCTTCTGCCGCATGATGCAATTTTGATCGGACATTCTTTGGAAAATGATCTGCGAGCCTTGAAGGTGAGTTCGTTTCACAGTTTAGTGTCAACTGTTAAAAAACGTGACCATTATTCCACCAAGAAAGGTTTCTCACTTTATACATTCGTTTTGGATTCCTGAAACGCAACTTATGTAAGATGTGTCTAATTTCCCTAGTAAAAAATACCCTTATTGAAACCTTCAATCTTTAAGATATTCTTATTTCATCTGTCAAGATATTCTTTGATTGTATACAAATCATTGTATTTCTCTAATGTTTACCTTATATTTATTTCTTTCCAGCTGCATCACGGACGTGTGATTGACACTTCAGTCTTATATGACAGTAGTAGTGGTCGTTTATTTAAATCTTCACTCAAATGTCTCACTAAACAGTTTCTGAAGTAAGTGTTCAATCCCGTGCGTACTTTCCACATTTTTCCAAAGGCATCTTAGTAATTCCCAGTTTGTTTAGTGGCAATATTTATTTGTAATCTTTGGCCTGCACTTGTGTGTTTCTTGCGATGCAATTGAAACTTTTTCTATGTACAGTAAAAAGATTCAAAATGGATCAGATGGCCATTGTTCAATCGAAGATGCTAAAGCTTGCATGGAGTTGGTTCAACTGAAAATTAGAAATGGTAAATTTGTTTACTTTATCTTCACAAGAGAACAGATTTCTGACTCCGTGCTGTGTGTTACAAGACTTGAAAATCCATCTTTTAGAGCAGGTGCAGTATTATACTACGCTAATTTCCAAAACTATCAGCAAGAAAACGCGTAACACTTCCTCGCAGCAATGCATACTCATTACCTCACCGCATAATATTAAATAATAGGAATGCAACGAGGAGAAACGATGAAGTTCTCAACGGCCACCAGGAAGTGGCGTGAGTTTAGATCGCGAAAACTGACTGTGGTCCCGGAGCACCATCATTAAAAATGACCATTTTTCAGACGGAGTGGCGAATCTTATAGTCAAGGGGCGCAAAGCATTACAACCGCTGCGAGCATGCGCGATCCCGTGAGGAAATACGCAACATTATAAAGAATTCTTGTGACGAGCTAATTAATTATGCAGTGAGAATAGTGGCTCGAATGTGAGTAGTAGAAATGTAGACGACTAATGCTTGGGTTACATCTCGCCTGATTTGTAGACCTCTGCCTTTCTCCAAGTTTAGTTTTTCATCAGTTGTCGAGTGGACATACCGAGTTTGCTTGAGAGGCCCTGAGGGAAGTTACACCTGGCAAAGCCTTTCATGTTTTCTTAATTCTACTATTTTTTCCTTGCCTTGTTAACGTTATTCCTTGTTTGTTTGTTTTTTAGGTCCAAACTTTGGAAAACCGTCAATGAATAAAGAAGGGTATGCAAACTTAGTTCAAAATATTCACGTACAGATAATTCCATCAGTTATTTGTCAGAAAAAGGAGGCCTGAGCCTCTGTTTTTTAAACACTTTTTTAAAAGACGATCTTATTTTTCATGAGACAAAAAGCAAATCGTTCTCTCAAGCTTTTTTTTTAGTATCCTTTTTGAAACGTTTATTTTTTGATCCCTTTTTTTATTCCTTTACTTTTATTTTTATTACTTGCCAAGCCCTTCTTTGGAGTAAAACTATTTTGGAGTTTTTACAAATAATAAATGTATGAAGAAGGATTCTTTTGCCAGTCACAGCAGGGGATGAAGAATATTGTCTCTCTCGCCTCAGGCGCCGCTACAGCGCAGAAAAAAATCGCATGTATAAAGGTTGCTTCAAGGGACTAGTAATTGGTGCATTGTTTTTTTTTTTAGACAGATGGTGCGAGTTAATACAAGAAATGATGTTTCTCTTTTTACGTGATATTTATCAACAGGTTATTTGAGAGGATCGCTCGCAAAGGAAGGATAGGTATATTAGACATTTTTCCTATAATTTATATATATATATATTATTATTATTATTATTATTATTATTATTATTATTATTATTATTATTATTATTATTATTATTATTATTATTATTATTATTATTATTATTATTATTATTATTATACATTGTACTCACTAAACTGTCTTATTAAACTGTCTTTTGGTATTGACGTCTGTTGGTGTTCCAAGATCCTTTTCTTACCGTTTGTTCTAATTTTGGTACCACGTAAAAACAAAGTACAAAGATTACCACAGTTTTTCGTGCGCGCGCAATGCACGATTTCCATGTGCAATTTCAAACTATGTTCCTTGGTGCGGTGTGTTTGTCGTTATTTTCTTCAGTACAATTCTGATTAGATTCAGCTTTTGTCAAATCCGGTATAATCAAGGACTCGGTAAGTGTTGTAAGCCTTTGGCCTCGGTTGACAAAACTTACCTCGATCTTGATTATTCTGAAAAAAAAAACTCATCCAATAATTGTTAACTATGCTCAACTGAAATGGAAGTTTTGATCATCATTGTTCACGATGGATCAAACATCTTCATGCTTATCTAAACTGAAACTGAAAATACGTGAAATTTCTCTTTCGATGATTATCCCTCGATTCGCTCTGGCGAAGGTGTAGCGCTGGATACTTCACGTTTACTCTGACGGTGATCCGTTCACCTTATAGTTGGCCTGCGTGGCAGACGTTTCCTCGCGAGTTCATCGAGTTGGAAAGAGAGCTAAATAGAATCCACCTCTTTTGCTCTCGGCTGTCACAGTTTTCTTGGTTTGACTGTAACTCAGTTGGTAGACAGCAAATTACTTCTTCACCGAAGGCCGCACTCTTTATTTATTGCTTTTTGGTTGGTTCTTTCTTTGTTGTTTGGCCTTTGTAATGAAAAAAAAACTATACAAGCAGAAACTCGTTGGCAGGAATCTCACACCCATGGAGCTTATTTAGTTGTTTTTAACAAGTGTTTAAGTGTTTTTGGATATATAAGCTTGTTGCATCAAACAAAGCGTTTACGTGGTAGAAGAATTAAGACTGATTACTCTCCCAAGAGAAGATCCCGAGAACTAATTTTTAAATCTATGTTTGTTTGAATAGCCCAGTGATTTGAGGCAAACCAACTCAACCGACGTCTCATAGTGACTGGAGACTGTCGTTGTGAGTCGTGGTGACCAACGATGACTCAAGATGATTGGAGACTAATCCTATTATCATGATCTTGTACTATTCGTAGGAGCCATGCTTGACTCCCCAGGAGTGTTAAGAAAATTTTGTAGTGGTGCAAGACACGCCGTTTCATGTACTTCAGATGACGAGGTAATGTCGCTGCCTAAAACCTAACTTGCTTTGGGTTAATCACGGTGTTTTAAAAGTACCAAACATATTTGTCCTTGTATGCCACCTTTCATTGGTTGACAACAAAACGGGGATGAAATTAAAACACTTTTAGAAAAAACGGACACATGTTGACTCCCCTTTAAGAGACGTTTCTAAAACGGACACCCCTGTAAGACAGATACTCTGTAAAATGGGTCAAATTAAAACATACCCCTTCCTTGTTTTAAAACGGACAACTCTATAAGACAGACACCTCTGTTTAAACGGACACCCCATAACACATTATAAGACAGACACCTTTGACCACCCCTATAAGACAGACACCTCTGTAAAACGGACACCCCTATGAGACAGACACCTTTGTAAAACGGACAACTCTATAAGACAGACACCTCTGTAAAACGGACACCCCCATAACACAGACACCTCTGTAAAACGGACACCCCTATAAGACAGACACCTTTGTAAAACGGACACCTATAAAGATGGTCCCTGCTTTTCTTGACTCCTTTTATTTGACTCTCTATAAGGCGCTGGCCTTAAAGATGTTCGTCTTAAGAGAGAGTTGACTATATATATTTTTACAGTCAATTTCTAATTAAAAATTGTTTCTCTACTTTTTTGGGGATCACGCATGAACTCAGTCGGCTGTTTTAACTCGCCTTTTTCGGGGAAAAGAAGACCGGTCTGTAAAGCGGTTTCACCTGAAGTCTCGTCAGCAATATTGGTGTACCAAAACTTTAAAACAGCTGCCATGTTGGGGACTCAAACCAGTCCTCCAGTGGGAGTTGAACCTTTGTCTTGTGTAAAACCCTTCTTTAATTTGTTCCGATAAATTTGCAAAGCTGCTTACCACGTGAATGCAAATGCTCTACAGCAGTCAACTCCCGGTAACTCGAACCTTATGGGGAATTCGAAAAAAGTTCCAGTTATCGAGAGTTCGAGTCATCGAGAGGTTGAAACAAAAAAAGGAGAATAAGGAAATAAGCAAACGGGATGGAGAAGGCCGGTGTAACCAGCTGAAACGTCGATTTACATTCATTTTATCTACTTTGTTTTGTTTTGTTTTGTTTTAGTTTTATTAGAAGGAAGTTGTCCTTACCTCCGGAATTTTTGAAACTTTCTCGTTTGGTGAAAAATAAAAGTGGGTCTGAGTTTTAGCCACAGGGGGCTCCCACATCCGATCAGATTATAATACCGTATTTCCTCGAATGAGCATCCTCCCCCAAATTAGCGCTCACCCCCTAGGCCAAAATATCAAATAAGCGCCTCCTCGAATAAGCTCCCCCTTTCCCTCGATTAAGCGCTCTCCTTTTTAAAAACTCCCATCCTTTTTGCCGAAATCTTCAATAAGCGCCCGAGCGCTTATTCGAAGAAAAACGTTGTTAGAATATTGATCACTTACTTTAATATCGATGGGAGAAATTTGTTTGCTTTGGCGGCCATTTTGAACTTTGCGGTCCGCTGGTGCGAGATCTGAAACCAAGAAATCTTCGGAGCCGCTCGTATCTCTTATCATAAGTCACTTCATATTACTCGGCAAGCGATCGGATCCTCCGAGAGCTTTCCGACTGTCCCAGACCCCCGATATTTCTTGGCTCCAGATCTCGTACCATCTGACCAAAAAATTCGAAATGGCCCCCAAAGAAAACAAAATCCACGCATCGATGAAGTAAGCAATCTTTATCTAATTGTTTTAACCCGATCGAATGTGAAAGCCCCTATGTGTTAGCACCTGTAGACGCTTATTAGGCCACCAATGACCATTGTCCTTATTTCTAGGCGGTGTCCCAGGCGGTGGAGCTAGTCAAAACCGCAGATCTACTGTGGGCTCATTTACATCAACCTGAAATATTCCTCAAAGGTCAGCAGCATTATAATTGCAGACGGAACCTTTATTACGTTCTTTAAAACGTATCAGACTGATGCATACATTTTATTGAGACAAGAAACTATTTTGTCTCTTATTTTCGCAGGGGAAACGTGTAGCGATAAGGGAGAAGAAGATCAAAGATGGAAGGTAACTTATTGAAATAAGTCCTTGTTTAGTTTTATAGGCTAGGGGAAAAGAAATATCTTTATAAAAATGAGTGGACTGCTTGTCAAAAAGTGTTAAAGGATTTTTTTGATGGGGGGAGGTGGTGGGAGATAGTTTCCAGGTTATTTTATTTTTTTTGAAATATCGGCTCCAAGTGACGGCAGTGTTTTTAACAATTTTGTGTCTCCTTGTAGAGCTGTATTCGTAGGCTAATATAGGATATGCAGTTTGGAAACATTTACTTCAAACAGTTGTTACAACTTTGGTCCCGATTGTTCTGAGGTTCCTGACTTAAGCAAAGCACCTTGGTCGTCACATTTGTAAAGTTGTTTTCTTTTTGTCAACAGGAAGTGCTAAAGTCGGTAGACTCTAAAATCCTACAAATTCACCAGGCCCTACCGAAGGACACGTTTTTTGTGATGTTTGGTTGCGGGGATTTATCTCTCGTCACAAGGCAAGTTGTTATTTTATGCAGTTGTAGATATCGTAAATCATGGAATCTTGAGCCAGTCAGTTATTACAATGTTTAGACGCCGTTTAAGTTGTTTGGTCGCGCGATAATTCTGCTACAAGTTTAATTGTTTGATAGGCATTGGTCAGTTACTAAGTCCAGGAGTGTTTCACTAATTTTCCACAAAAATCACCTTTCTTAAACCCTGAGGGTTACTGGATAGCAGCAAGGTAACGATAAGGATTTTTATTTTACGTCGGAAATGAACTCGTAATATTGCACATTTGACAGACAAAGATAAGGCCGACGGTGCGCTCGTTTTACCTCCTTCTCTCCATCAGTTCTCCTTTTTACTGGTGTTAAAAGCTACTTTTAAAAAGCTACAAGGAAAAGAGTAAAAAGCGAAACGAGGATTGAGGTCCCATCTGAAAATCGAACTCGAAATCTTCCGCACAGAAGGCCGCGCACGTTTGCTCCATTAACTAACAACCTACCCGTGGCTTATAGGGCTTCATCTAACCTGCGTGCGCGACAGGCGCTTGGAAGTAATATAATAAGCGCAATGGACGGGGTGCGCCTCGTTCTATCTAGCACATAATTCCACGCAGGCTATCTCGAGGGAGGAACGTGTCACGAAGGCCTTAAAACATTCACGTTGCGGACGAAAAACTGTTATCATCGTATAAATCTTTAATGTTGGTATCTCTTTTTTTAGACTTCAGAAGGATCGGAAGTCAAATAAAGCAGAATTAAAGAAAGCTGTGAAGATTGCAAAGAAGGGCTTGTGTTTTATTAAGATCACGTGATAGTTTCAACTTGACGTAATCATTTGACAGGAAAGAAACAAAAGTCGACTCGGCAACAATCACTTCAAGTCCGTGGAGGTTTTGAAAGACATGGGTCAAGGTTGAAGTTTCTCGTTTTTTTCCACTGATCTTTTTGCTCAAACCATTTTTAAAACTCAAAAGTTCAAAATGAAATTTTTTCTAAACTATTCATTCGTAGAATTTTAAAGAGGAGCACTGAGGTTTTCTTTAGATAAGTTTAGCCAAAGTCGTCGTTGAGATATATTCAGCGTTAAATTTAATAAAACTTGTACAAGTTTAATTTACAAGTGTAGCTATTGCTTTGGAGTCTGGAAATAAAACGAACACTTGTAAATTACACTTATAAATGTTTACTGATTAAATGATGCAGGATTGAATCCTTGGGAGATGCAAGATTTTTGTAATAGCCGTCACATAGCGTCCTTATGAGTACCAGTTCACCAAAATGGATACTGAGATTTTGGCAATTAAGAATTGCAGCAAATTATATCTAAATGAAAAAGGCAAGATCTCAAAGATCAAAATGACAACAGCCCAGCCATGTATGAAGTGCTTATTGAGACTATACCTGCGTACATTCTTGGACATAAGTGACGTACTTTGCCTAGCAACGTTCCCGTGACCACCCCCAATGTTTGCTCTTTTTCTGCGGGGTAGGCGCGCGCGAAATATGGGTGCGCGTCAAGTGATGCGCGAGGGAGATGAGAACGCGAAGAGAGAGGTAGCGTTCTTTCTCCTCGCACGAGGATAGCGCTGCCGTTCATATTTGCCTCTATATTTCACATGCGCCTGTTACGAAGGCTAAAGAAACACTTTATACGCAGACACAGAGGGGAAGCACCGGATGGTTATTAAATAAACAGGCACCATTTTGTGTCGCGTTCAAATTAAATCAATCATTTATTTTTACACATTGCCTCCGGTACGAACGTGAATAAAGAAAACTTCTGATATTTTCATTTTTTATCTATACATCGAAAGGTTATGTTAATTCAAGAAATTTATTTACATCGCTCTCAAGACGGATGTGGGGGGGGGAGGGGTGGGCAGACTGTTCCTTACCTTTGATAACAAATCGGTGGGAGAATTCATTCAAAAGAGAAGTATCTCAAGCGCTGAGCACTGACATCTTAGCCCGTATAGGGCCTGCTATAATTTACAGCCCACACAGGATTTAAAGACATTTATTGGGCTTGGATTCTAACCTTTTTGAGTCTATAATGTCGTGTACTGAGTTGATTTTTCGCTGTCTCCAAACAAGCAAAAATTGATCAAATATTACTTGTAGGGCTGAACTGAATCTTCCTCGTATTATTGATATTAATGAATTCTTCCTTGTATTAATAACAAAGAAAACTATTACATCCCGGACCGCGTGGGTTCAAACGTTGCATTGTCAAACAAATACATATTTCAACATTCAAAGAAACCTTCTAGAATTTTTTAACAATTTTAAGAACAATATTTTTCCCTTACTTAAAAGATAAAAGCAAGGTAACTGAAAGGAAAGAAAAGGATGATCGAAAGTTGCAGAATTTACCGAATCACAAGATTATTTTGTCCTCTTTGCGGTTTTAATAGAAATTAATGGACGAAGTTTGCATTATCACGATTATATTTTAGTACTGATTTATTACCAAGCGAGTCTGATGTAACTTAATTGTTATCCCTTTGTTGCTTTATTATTTCTTCTTGTTTTATCTTTAAAAACTTTAATTTGCAACTGTACTGTTAGAACTTATAGGCGTGCAAATAAAGCTAATGTTGTTTTCGTTTTTGTTGTTGTAAAAGTTTAAACCAGTAACCAATTTCCCTGAACACATAGAAACGGGATGTTACGGTATATAATTTCTATTTACAGTGTATATGGTATATCCGGCCCAATGCAAGTTCACGCAAATAAAGCAACTTTTTCGTTGAAGTCTATAAAAGGTTCGTCCACGGAATGACTGAAACCTGTTCCCAGAAACCCTTGCTGAAGTTGTTGAAGTTTTCCACAAGTATCTAGGTGGCTTCGTCGTCTAATTGGACCAAAACGTTTTTGTTTTATACAGTGCTCGTTGTCGTTTCGTGTTTTCCCATCTCTTGATGATTGATTTTTGAAGTGTTCTTCTAGACAATGAGTGGTCGGACCTTATTTGCCTTGAGGGAAGTAGAGGGAGTTAGTACCCGAGTGGCAGTGAAAATTGCCACCCACGAGGAAGGCGCGCGGCAAGTGGGGACTCGAGGGTTGTGTTTTTCATGAACGCCCTCTTAATTATTTTGTTTGCTCTACTATCCCTCGAGAAAATTAGGGACTGTACTCATGGTTTGCCTCTCTTCACTGTAAATAAATCTGTAAATCAATTCCCGCTGGTAAGTACAGCCAGAGCGACTTAGTGGAGATGCAGGATCATACAGCTTTCCCAGATGTCAGAAGTCCTTCTATATCTTTTGTTGGCTCTGCAGTGAAAGAAAGCAACAGACAAGCTAATTTCTGTAATTTTTATCAAGTTAACTAATAAGCGAGAAGACTAGCTATGACCAGGTGGGGAATTTTCCTGTGTAGGGGGGAGTGGGAGGGGGAGGGCTACTCTTATACAAGCTTTACAGGCCGGTGCACACTGGCGAAAAGGTAGCTACGCCTCCGGTATAGAAACAGATTTTCAGTTCTCAAATAAGGTAACACCAGGTAACTTTCTCAGGGGGAAGGGGTACTCTTATAATTGTTATAGAAGGAAATACAAAAAAAACTAACAATAATAGACTGTCGGTCTTTACTCTGTTGTGTCAACCATAGACTCGTGGCATCAGAACTTTTGAAACTACGGATTGATCGATCTATTGATTGATTGATTGACTTATTTCTGGCCTACAACTGAAAACTGACCTCATGTGTTCAAACTAGCATGATCCTTTTATTCTGTGTTGGTTTCTTTTTCAGTCTGCACAACGTGTTCAATCTGTCGTCCGTGCTTTAATTTACTCTTTTTCTGTCGTTGTAGAAATTTAAGTTCCGTTTCAAAACTCGAACTTCGCACGTGCTGAATTTAATGCTGATGCGAAAAATCTATTTTTGACTTTTCTTTTTAACTGAGCAACTCACCTTTCATTAGTCAAAATTCATTGTCACGTCATCCCCAATCAGCACGAATGGCGCCCAGTACTTCACGGCGTTGAATTCTTGAGTCTCTCGCATACATTCCATGGCATGATGAAGGGACTTACTTGCACTTTGCCCCGCTACCAAATTTCGGTAAAAATGTCTCATAAACTCCAAAGTGTCGTCGTCGCTGAGCGCCCACAGTGACGCGATAACAGAACGTGCACCGGCTCCTAAAAAGGCACGTGCAATTCCAACCACTCCCTCGGCTTTGATCTCCCCTCGTGCACTGAAACAGCAGCTTAAGACAACAAGCTTGGCGCGCAATTGTGCATCCAAAACATCTCTCATTGTCAAACGAAAGTCCTCCTCTTCCGGCTTTTTAGCATCAGCAAGATTAGGAGACAAAATAATTTCTCCGTTTTCTGGACAACCATGTGCTGCAATGTGTACTAAAGAAACTGAGTTGAGCCTGCTCAAAACTTGATCTTTTGTAGCGTTCCTACCAGTGAGAGGTTGAATGTTAAGAATCTGTCCAATCATTTGTACTTCTTTCTCAGCACCTGGAAGCGGTTTGAATTTGGACCCTTTGATGCGTACGGTTTCCACCCACGGATTACCAACAAGCAGTGCACCAGATGTACTATGGTTGTCCTCCGGACACTCTGCCAGCAACCTCAAGCTTCTTAGTGATGGAGCCAATCGAATTCTCATCGTTTCAGACAAATACCTGGAATTCTGGTCCACAAGGGCAACATAAGGAATCAAGAATGATGAGCGGTCAGGGACAATGATGATTTCGTCACTTTTTATCAAGTGTGAAAATGGAGCGATAACCACGTCATGCAATGTTTTAAGAGCAACACTCTCTTCATCTTCTGGCTCATCCCGGGAGCGATCCTTGCCCCTCACATCGAAGTTGACACCAATCTTTTGGTACGTTTCGCGAATTAGTGATTTTAAGTCAACACTGATCTTCTTTTGGATAAAATGACACTGCTGTCCCTTAAGCAGTAACCACAAACTCACTAATTTTTCATCTTCTGCTACAAAAATCGTAGGTGAAGAAACAAGTCCTGAAATTGTCATTATTAGTTCCATCTGCTGTTCTGACGACGGTCGAATTGATTCCCTGACGCAATATCGTGATTCCATGAGATCCATGAGAGCTTGTGCTCGTCCCGCCTCAGCTGTGAAAAGTGCCTCAAGGGTTCTACCTTGTTGTGATTGAATTCTCCTTAAAAGAGTATAACTGTTGTCACGTTCATTCCGAAAATTGATTTTCCACTCGTCTTTCCCGGGCAGGAGATCCCTCATTTCCTCGACCAGTTTTATAGAGGATTTAGCACACTCCTCGGCTTTAATAACGTCGCCAAAACGGAAAAAAATAGAAGCAAGGTTGCTTTTTCTAATTATTTTAGAGTCTTTGTTTCCAGTCTTTTCTGCGATACTTACACTCAGCTGAGTAAGCTCGAATGCTTTCTGCAAATCACCGAGATCGTCATAGACAAGGCCAAGGTTGTTATATGCAGCTCCTTCACAATTTTTCCTTCCACTCGTTTTTGCGATACTTAGACTCAGCTGAAAACACTCCATTGCTTTCTCCAGATCACCGAGATTCTGATAGACAAGGTTGTTATATGCAGCTCCTTCAGAATTGTTATATCCACATCCTTCAGACTTTTTCTGTCTCCAGTCTTTTTTGTTATATGTTCTTCCTTCAGAACTTTTCTTTTCAGACTTTTCAGCTTAAAATAAAACTGATTGCTTTCTCGAAATCACCGAGATGGCGATAGGCAGTGCCAAGGTTGTTATATGCAGCTCCTTCAGAATTTTTTGTTTCCAGTCTTTTCTGCGATACTAGACTCAGCTGAAAATACTCGATTGCTTTCTCAAATCACCGAGATTCTGATAGACATTGCTTTCTGGCCAAGGTTGTTATATGCATTTCCTTCAGAATTTTTGTTTCCAGTCTTTTTTGCGATACTTAGACTCAGCTGAAAACACTCGATTGCTTTCTGCAAATCACCGAGATCGTGGTATAGACAAGGCCAAGGTTGTTATATGCAGCTCCTTCAGAATTTTTGTTTCCAGTCTTTTCTGCGATACTTAGACTCAGCTTAAAAAACTCGATTGCTTTCTGACAATCGTGATAGACAAGGCCAAGGTTGATATGTAGTTCCTCTTTTTGTTTCTCTTTTCTGCGAAATCACCGAGTTGGCGATTGGCTGCAAATCACCGAGATGACGTTGCCAAGGTTCTTATATGCAGTTTCTTCAGAATTTTTGTTTCCAGTCTTTTCTGCGATACTTAGACTCAGCTGAAAACACTCGATTGCTTTCTGCAAATCACCGAGATGACGGTAGGCATCGCCAAGGTTGTCATATGCAGTTTTTTCAGAATTTTTGTTTCCAGTCTTTTCTGCGATACTTAGACTCAGCTGAAAACACTCGATTGCTTTCTGCAAATCACCGAGATCGTGATAGACAAGGCCAAGGTTGTTATATGCTCTTCCCTCAGAATTTTTGTTTCCAGTCTTTTCTGCGATACTTAGACTCAGCTGAAAACACTCGATTGCTTTCTGCAAATCACCGAGACGACGGTAGGCATCGCCAAGGTTGTTATATGCAGTTTCTTCAGAATTTTTGTTTCCAGTCTTTTCTGCGATACTTAGACTCAGCTGAAAACACTCGATTGCTTTCTGCAAATCACCGAGATCGTGGTAGGCATTGCCAAGGTTGTTATATGCAGTCCCTTTAGAATCTTTATTTCCGATCTCTCTGGCTTCCTTTAATGCCAACTCGAAGTAATATCGGGCTGTTTTATAATCACCGCCTTTTAAAGCTTTCATTCCAAAGTGATAATTGCACCAGAAATCCTTTACGCGGGAAGTGCTGTCGGGTTGCTCCTGCTTTCTTTTACCTTCACCGCATGACTAAAAACAGCAAAAATAAGAGTGTTTTATCCTATGTAAAATCAGTTATATCCCGATCTGTCCTTTAAAAGCTGTTAAAATAATAAATGTCCTTAACCTGAAAATCCTCCTCATATCTTTTTTATACTTTTATTTTAATATTGATACTCCTGTAGCTTGTTTTGGAAAATGGAAAACTGGCAATGTCTTCCTGTCTTTCTATGCAAAGACTAACCTAAACTGCAGCTACCAGCTCTGAAGAAATAAGAAGGTCGTCCAAGATTTTACATGTAATACTTACGTTCACAACTAATCTACAGCTCTTCGAGAAAACAGTATAATTATTTGAGATAAAATTTCAGGAAAATACTATGTACGCTTTGGCTATTTTTGCCAAAAAAAATGGATTAAAGAAGAAGTGAAGAAATTAGCTTCATGAAATTTGTGATATCTGTTTTATTTGTTTTGCCAGGAGGTAAATTTTTAACTCAGTGGTGATCTGAGTAGGTAAGCATGAAATTCGTGTTTCAAAAAAGGCATTACACGTGCCGCCTAAGAAATAGGAGTAAATACAAGAATAAATTTCAATCTTGTTACTTTGCTTTTTCCTTTTCGTACTAGATTTCTCTTTGAATCAGTCTTTAACTAAACAATCTCTAACTCTTTGCAAAAATCAAATAATGAATGGTGTAATGAAAAACTGGTCTTCTTTTACTCAAATATTTAATTCTCATTGGCAAAAACCTTTTGTACTCTAAGGCATTGCATGGTGGTAAAATCCACGGTTTTAAGATATTCTACCTCGCTACTAGCTCTTTAAAAGGAGAAGATAGAAGAAGAAAATATATCGACGTCAGAGAAGTGGTCTAAATTAATCAACTATAGCTAGTTACGTTTGGTGTGTGCAAGGGTGTATGATTTGGTGTGTGTGTAAGTGTAAACGCTTGTTTACGGAGGATGTACAGGGACCGGAGGAACGTCGATTTTGGGGTCATTGGATGGAACCGGGTCTGAACGAACGCGTCGAACGAAAGGAAGAAAACGCTTGCAGACAAACCCCAGGATTTTGAAAACCGCCCACTTGGCCTGTCATGCCTGAGTTCGCGCACCGACATCTGACACAGGGTCCAGAGGAGATGTGTTTGTCGTTAGAACATCAAAACCCGTCGAAAACCTCTGAAAAAATGGGTTATTTTGATCGTGTTACAGTTTCGTTACACATTCTATAGACCGCAAACCAAGAGACTGAGGGCTCGTAAGATCGGTCGGCACTTCGTGCCTCGGTCGCCCTTCGGTCACTCTTCGGACGACGTGCCGTGCGCCAGCGAGCATATGGCTTGCGGTTATTGATTTTCAAAATGGCGAACAACAAAGTCTATCTGGGTCCGATAAGAAGCGAAGAAATCGTTTACAGTAGATTCATAAAGATTCCATTAATTTGGGCTAATTAATCGTGCCAAGCGACAGATATAGACATTTTTTAAGGTGAGACTTTAAATAAGTAATTCATTTATTCACACGAAACTCCTCTGGACCCTGTGCATTTGATGCTGTCACCAGCTGTCATAATTGACCAATAAAATGTTTGCCCTTCCGTGGAGCGGAAATGAGCTTTAGAGGACGCGTTTGTGAAACCAAATTGGCAACTGATGAAGTTCGCGTGGAGAACCAATCAGCAATTTTGACTGAGTCCCAATGCAGTTCTCCATAGTTGATGTAGCTTCAGTTTAAGGTTCAATCCATTCTTCGAAATTTGGATCTGTAAATCACTATCCGAGAGAATTTAACATCCCGAAAAAAACAAAAAACACTAACGAGCTGGGCCCAGCATGACAAAACATTGCAGGAAACCATCGCACTCCCTGACAAAAGAAAATCGCTTTTAGTTATTCAGATCCAGGAGATACTTTGGAGAATAAATTTAACGACCTGAAACCCTTATATAGTCGCAAGAAGAGCTTTGCATTTCAAACAAAGTTGAAGAAAATGCTCTTGCGTTGGAGGGAAAATCTTCCCGACCAGTATGAAACAAACCTTTGATCGACACATGTCAATATTGTTCGACTAGCCGAGCCAATCAGGCGCTGCGTTCGCTGGCGAACGCAGGTTTTCAAAATCGAGGGGTTGTCTGCAAGCGTTTCCTTCCTTCCCCTCCCCCTCCCCCCTCTTTTATTTTGTGGCTCTCGTTTCATTCCTCGCGGAGTCAAAACCGAAAGTCCCCTTCCTCGGTCTTTCTTTCCTTCGAAACTTAACGGAAACGCTTGCTACGCAGGCTAAAGCCACCGTAGCGTAACAAGTGCTGACTTAGGGGAGTAGGGTGTGAAGAAAATATACCGTAGAAATGATCTAACAGGAGACGGGTGAGGCTATTTCTTATAAAGGCTCCTCCCGAAATCTCAGTGCTTCAAATGAGCAAACAAGTTTTTAGGCCCAAATAACTGACAAAGCGAAGACCTAAACAGAACATGATAGATTTCCATGTTACAAGCTGAAGAAAGAGCCAGTGCAAACGTTGAATACCGAAGTGGAAAGTTTAACATCACTATCAAAGAAAGCCGTATTAGACTACGACGACGAAAACTTAACGTTAACTTAAAAAGCACGACCCCGCAGTACACGTAGTTTCTACATCGACTGCGTCAATAAAATAAAACTAAACCAACCCACCCAGCTATTTTCCCTGAAGTGCTCAAATTAGCGCCTTTTTCTCGGTTCCAGTCCAGACCCACAAATTGGCCCTTGCTCCCCATAGAGTCTCCAGTAGCTCAAGTGGTTAGAGCATCCGACTAGATCACGGAGGGTCGTGGGTTCAAATCCCATCTGGGACTCGGATTTTTTTTTTCCGAGTCCTCCTCAAAATTAATATCATGTTGTTGTTGTTTCATCTTTAATATTTTCACGTTATTGTCCTATTAAACGCTTTGTCTTCAACCCGCGAGTTCGGCTCAGCTTTTAAACCAAGCAACAGCACGCGAAACATTTTTACAGATTAGTTTTTGTTACGTCCTTGAAACTACTTCTACAAAATTAGAATCAAACGAGCAAAAGCACGTATTTTTTACTTGAAGCCGTTCTAAATTTGCGCCCTGTCGAGCCACCTGTTAATTAAAGTTTCTCGTTTCTATCTCGTGTCTGGTAATTTGATCCAAGTTTTCGGGTCTAGTACGTTTTGTATCAATATTCAAACCTCGTGCTGTGGGCGAAATTTTGGAACCTCTTTGTTGGATGATTAGTGTGTTAATTAACAATTATCAAATGAAGCTGAGTATGATTTGAAGGGGGTTAGCCGAGGCGGACCGTCTTCAGTTGTCTCAGTTGCCTGTTTCTCAACAAGTTCAGGATATAGAGGGATGTTTAGTTCTGCAGATCTTGAATTCTGCAGATCTTCTCCATTCTTGCTATGATTTTAGGCAATAGTTCAGCTATTTTTTTTTTTTTTTGCGAAACGTGAAAAATGTTACGTCGTTTTGTAATTCTCCACCAAAACAACACAATCTCGATCAAAGGCTTCCCGGTTTTCAGTCTATTTTCTGGCAATTAGGCTGTAGTACTTCTTCCAAATTTGGTCAACGCCAGCTGATTATGAAGAATAAGCCGCGGGATTTGAGCCAATCAGAAAAAAAGAAACTTTTTGAATAAACAATAATTGAATATAATGCCTGATTTTCATGGGTTGATTGCTTAGCAACCATTTTATGAACTTAGTACAGGGTAATTTGAACGTAACGCGAACTGTTAGTAAAATTGCTTTAAAGGCGGAGCCCTTAGTTGACGGATTGTGGTACCGATCGCATCTCGGCTTTTATTAGAGTCAACTTGCGATATCAGTGCAGCATGAAAAGCTATTTTCATCGTTAAATCAAAGCGAAATGCTTATTATAGAAACAAACCAAGATACCTCGTTGTCCATGTCTGTTGCCAGCTTTCTGAGCTCCATCAAAGTGGTGTTTTCCGTTTCGATCTTTTGACATTGTTAAGGTATGAAGTTTCATTATAAATTAAGTACTTCTTATGTTTGTTCTAACTGAATATCAACTAGTTGACCTGTTCAGTGAGTTCCTATGAATTAAATTCAAGGCTGATCGGACAGCGTAGGATGGGTAATTTATTTTCCCAATATTTCTGTTAAACAAAACTAACCCTCATGAGGGGCTAAAAAGGCTGAGTAAGTTGTTCATCATAAGTAACTTGAAATTTTCCCCAGTATCTGTAAGAAGAATGCTAATTTTAGACGCATTTCTAGCTGTTTCAAACCGCCTAAATATCATATTTCAGCTGACATTGTCCCTAGGAACATGGGCCTGCATGCACATCCGTCTCCTATATGATTCTCCCACGTCTTACTGTTAAGAAAAAACTTGATGGAGAGAAAAATTGGAAACGACGAGGGATCTATTTATTTACTGGGGGAGGGGGAAAATTGTGCGTACCTCCAGAACTTATTCTGGCTCGCCCCTTATAAAGAGAAGCTGGAGGTGTCACCATGTACAATCAGAATGTAATTAATTACAGGATCAGGTCTAACCTGTCTGATCCTGTAATTAATTACATTCTGATTGTACATGGTGACACCTCCAGCTTCATCAGGTCTAACCTGTCTGATCCTGACTTTCACATTATGTGTTACTAACAAAAACCCAAAGTCAAGCCATTTCTTCTTTCTTCTGTCACTGAAATGGCCTCAACAGTATCCCAGCTTTCTTTAGTTTCCAAGGCATCAAATAAGTTTACTTATAGCTACAGTCGCTAATTCTCTCAATACTTTACTTTGAGAGCTCTTGTCGACATATCAACGGCATTTGGCACCTTAGATAACGAGAAATGATTTAACAAACACCATTCTGTTTATCAAGCTGAAAAGGGTATTCGAACTTAAACCTCTTCGGAAACAGAAAATTTAATAAAACAAAGATTACAGCGATAACCAGCGTCAAATCTGGAAGAACTTGTGTCCGTTTCGGCGCGCCTCAGGGCTCTATCTTCGGATCCCTGATATTCCTTTTATGTATCAATGACTTGCCATATTGTAACTAACTATCCCTTTCTAGAAATTTTGAACTCCAATGACACTAACCTTGCCTAGGCGTCTAGAAACCCTAAAGAGTTGTTCTCATCCCTAATTCATAACCTAAGCTAGCAATGTGAAACAATGGTTCAATTCACATCGGCGCTCACGCCAAATAACGTAGTAAGCAGTACCTTTCTTTTTCATATTTAAGAGATCAACAATAAAGTTACAATAGCATTTGCTGCCCTAGCTTGGGGAACTGAAGCCAATATGTCCCGAAAGAATTCTCGTAACAGCTTACAAATTGTTGATTCATGATCCCGCCTTATCCCGATATGATGTCTTCTCCCGATTATTGTGGAGTTGCGTGTGGGGATATTGGTGCTGGACTTAGTCACAAACCTGAAAAATTGTAACAATTGCATTTATAATATGCGGATCCGGGTGAAATGTCAGATCTGCTCAGATTCTCCGCGACCTCGACTGGATAAGCCTCGTTCAAAGACGAGTTTAAACCACAGGATAAACAAGCACTCGAATCATCCTTGTGGAATTTGCAAACATGAATATCATTCGTAGACATAATCTTGCTATTTCCATTCTATGCCAAGACTCTTTAAAGAGAGTTTCCGATATCAGGGTGTTATCCCATGGAACAGTTTGTCAGCTGAGGCCTAGCAGGCCAATAGGCCAGTTAAAAACTTTTATACTATTAAAAAAACTAGAAGTTTCAATTAGAGAGAACAACTGCAGAACTGCAGAAGTTCTTGTTGTTGTCGTTGTGTGTAAATTATGCTTACAATATGAGGAGTATTACCAATTTTACCTTTTAGGATACCAGTGGCAATTAATACTAGTTCACTCAATACGGTGTTGAAACCATTCATAAAACTCCCTGAGGATAGAAATACGTGTATTGAAGAACTGGCAGAACCTCGCGTAGCTCAGGGATAGAAAGGTGGAAGAGAAATAGGGTAAATCGTGTAACTGGTGAGACTGGGTTTTAACACAGGCTCTAATATTGGAAGCTGAGACATACTCCATGTCCTTTTGGTTGGAGTAAATTCGAACCTAATCCCCTGGATCTTCTTTCTCTCTTATAGGTTTCAAAGAGGGCTTGTAATCACATTTTATTTGCAATGTAATTTGTTTTTGCTTTGAACGCGAGACATGTTTCAAAGACGTTTTGTAATCGTACTCTATGTGGAACTTTAATCATAACATAGTAACGGGTAGAGCAAGTAGCAAAGGTAAACTATCTTTTGATCATGATGCAGGAATGCAATGAACAAAAGGATACTGCTAATCCTCTATCACACCACGTGATCGCCAGCTTAAAAAGATTCAATCTCGTTAAAGCTTTCGCTCCTGAATTAATTAAAATAGTGTAAATCAGTAGACCTAGAATATTCAGCGACACAAGCCTGCTCCCTTTCTTCCATTCTATCGAAACAGCGCTTAGCGGGATCAACAGAAATTATAACTGAAATGTTAAACATAGAAAACTTGATCATGACCGCCACTGTCAAAATCAGCCAACATCGCAAAAGGACAATGACGGGTGATTGCTGATTTCCAGTTGATCAAGTCAGTTCTGTTTTCGTAGTCTCGCGAGAGGCCTGTGATAGAAATGATGTGACTTTGTGAATTCAGTTATTGATCCTAATTCTAAGCTTCAATCTCATTCTTGCATAGTTTCCAAAAGTTTGAAAAAAAATTAAGGTAAATAATCAAAGAACGCCGGTTACGGTTTTGAGTTAGAATGTGGTTAAATTCAAACGCTTTCAGCACGTCATAAACTCTGTTTGTTTCTTAAGGAAAAAATAAAACCTTTGGAATTACCTGCTATTATTGGTTTCACTGACAGTGGTCGCATGTCCGTGGCTTCTTTTGCGTCCTTCAGTGAATTAATGCAATTTCCTAGGAATGTTGAAAAACAAAAGCCAAAATGTCACACACAGCAAACGCAGCGAGCCAATCAGAATTCAAAGCACGTACGATAAACAAAAGGTGGCAAGTACAGGATGACCTTGTTAAAACAAGTCCAAAACAGAATGTAGTGAATCAGGAGCCCATACGGGTCATAGGTTCCTGAGTGAATTAATCAGATAATGCGTAATGCTTTTTATTTGTACGATATTACATTAAAAAAAACTTGAAGATGAAAAATCATTTACACTGGATAAAGAAAACTTCTTTCGCGAGTAGTTCACTTAACTGCGTCAGCTAATGCATGCATGGCAGGCATGCGATGGGGAGGGGAAGGGCGGGAGAATAACGGTGCATGGCAACATGATGAAAGGGAACGCTCGCAAGAACGTTATTGTTTGACCCGTTTGTTTGACCTTTTTTATACTTAGATTCTGAAAGTTAAAACCGCAGTTGTTCATTATTAAGTATATAATCCAGAGCCGTAGCTAGCGAGGGGGCAAGGGGGCAGCTGCACATCAAGTCTGTGGATGGATTTGTTTTCTTTAGACTTAGTTATTTTGGTTATAGTGACTTGCAATTGTTTGCCATTTTCATATTCGAGGTCGATTTTTCGGAGACATATCTCATGACAAGTGCTGAAAATAACGTTTCGGAGCCTCCAAATTTGAAAATTTCCTGGGGGACGATACCCCCATACCCAGGCACAAGCCTCGTGCCTTCTGTACTCGCGATTTGGACGTTCTCAAATAGTTCCCTGACGAGATCAGCAATTCGGTAAAAATATATATAGAATATTTGGTCATCATCACATTTTTAAAGAAATGTCTTTCTCTGCGGACTACGAAATTTCAAACAAACTTTTAATCACAATTCAAATTCAGTACCTCTGCCTTACCACTCGCCTTCCCAACCCCCCACACCCCCTCCCCCTCTCCCCGCCTTGCCAAATCAGTATTTGCAAAAGTACAAATAGTCTCACCAAAACGAAGGTTTGCATATGCTCTGTTGCTGTACAGCTTAGCCTTCAGGTCCTGGTCCTTGCAGTTTACTTTTATTCCCTCAGTATAAAAGTAAATGGCGTTGCTGTAATCTTCCTTCAAGTACGCTTCATTACCTTCAGCCTTGTAAACTTCTGCCATAGCTGACAACGAAGCAGACTGAAATGTCGTTAAACCTGAGCGCTATTGCTTTGGGTGTTAATAGTTACCTTATGAATAGCGTAAACCATGACATTATTAGACATAGAAATAGGGTGTTCAATGAAACGAAATAAAAAATAAAGAAAAAGGAAGAGAATGAAAGTGTTCAGGACAGAATATGGCTGCTGATCTCCCATCTAGTTACCAACCCCTCCCGTCAGGGTTTAATTTGGGTAGCGCTGTCAAATACCAACGTTTGCAAAGTTTTGCTTGACACTTATTTCTAGAAAGCAAGGTTATTTCCTTCTAGGTTTTGTCAGTGTATTTTAATTCCATGAAGTGAAGATGATCGACTACGTATCAACAGTGATATGCGACTAAATTTTCTGTTTAACATCCCAAAAAGGGAGACGTACATGATTTGTATCCTCAGAAAATACTTGACAAAAGAGACGCGGAAGCACTGCACTGAATAAGATGTACGTTGAGATCTTTTTGGAGTCTCCTAGGAATATGTGAATCGTGCAGACCAACAGCTAATTCTCTGCTTATGTGAATCGCAAGATAAGCCTACTCCTAGAATAATCTAATCGGCTGTTTGTGGTTCTTACGCAATTACTTGCTAGTTCTGTAAATATTGCTTTTACCATTCCAGCCAATTTAATTACCTTAAATTCTGTTTTAGCTAATGATGCCTGTTTAAAATAGCACATCCATTTATTTTATCTTTTCCAGTCACCGTGATGTTCTTGTCTATAGTTTTAATTTCATTCGTCCTTGCTATGTCAAAGCTCTTTTGGTGATCAACTAATAACAGTAGTGAATGTCTTTACCTTTCAATGTGTCGTCATCAAAGTCCAATGATTGCCCTGAACTAAGTGCTGCAACATCAGTCTCTCTTGCTGCTCCGATTCCACTTTGCGTCATGTTTGCAATGACCTGGTGATAAACAAAAATGGAACAACGCTATCAATTAATGAAATTCTATCTCCCTGCATTAGCATGGGTGGCTATCGCTCAATATGCCATGGGTGGTGCTTTCCACTCAATGATAAAAAAATTCACACATGACACTAGTTTTTGAACATTATCCAACAGAATACCTTCAGTTGCAGGCAGGAAGATCTTGAAACGCACTGAGATATTATTACATAATGCAGCAGTACATCAAACTATTTTCACAGTAAACCCAATGACAGGCAGTTGCCCCGAAACACACAACCAGGGCGTAAGAAGCTAGGGCGTTGAAACGCTCATACGCGCTCTCTGGTTCAGCTGTGATGCGGAGTAGGACTGGAACTAGTTGGCCTTTCCGCTCTCGATCCGCTGTCAGCGCAAGAAAAATGGCGCCGTCTAGCTGGAGGTAGGTTCGGATTTATTGCTTTATATCTTTAGATCGCTGCAATCTATGATGAGATTTGATATTTGGCGTATTTCTATGCGATATACAGAAAATATTTAGGTGATATTTTATAGTTAGTCTTATAAGTTAAGGTGTTTTTTCGCCTTTTATGTTTATGTAGTATCAAAATTGCCTATCGAATATTACAGGTTGAAGGTCGCGTTTTATATTGCCAGTCAAAACCAAATGATAATAAACGGCTACAAAAAAAATATGTTATGGTTTTATAAATTTTGTTTGTGCATGCAAATTTTTAGAGTGAACTTTTATGAACCTTTAAGGTTTTTTTACTTCTGAAGTGACGACTTCATAATGGCGATAGCAAGGTTTTTGTTTTGTACGTTGGCGTTTAGCTTGTTAGTAAAATAAAAGATTTCAGTTGCCCAATTTAGCGATTTTTCTTTTTTTAATATACACTAAGATGGTAAATAATATTCTTTTAGTTACAGAACCGCGATCCAAGAAGGTTCTGACTATTTTTGAAGCTCTACTAGAAAATTGCATTTGAATGATCTCGTGTGACTGTCTTTACATAAACAACAACAAATTCTGCTTCACTGCGGTATAAATCTAAAGGTTGTATTGCACAGAAACAGTATGAAGCCTATGGAGAAATCTGCTTTCAAATCCCCACAAAGATTCCACTGTAAAATTAAAATCATAGAATGTGTTTGTTATTATGATTTTTTGCAGGACAACAGTGAGTGCCCGGCCTGAAAAGACTACTAGACCACACACTGAAAGATAAACCAGTTTATAATTCCGTGAATTTGAAGAAGAACATGAAGAGGTCTTAATTTGATTGCAAGTAGAATAAATTAAGACTGTGTAACATTTGTATTTTTGTCGTCAGAGGCTTAAGTGTGGTGTTGCACAAACTACCGTCAGCTCTCAGATGGAAACTATTGAGACTGGCACAAAATGTCTGTATTAATGGACAGGTGTAACTCTTATAGGGACCAACTTGATTTCCCGGAGGTGCCTTATCTTTTGATTGTACTACTGTATAATATTTCTAGCATTATATCCTCTCTCTTAAGATTATATATTGTAGACAAGGAAACAGGAAAGTATTTTTTGAATCAAGTTTGATTAAGCCTGGCTGCAGTTCATAAATTTAACCAAGAATGAAATTGAATCATACTGGACATGAAGTATACAAGTGTGCTAGGGTTACTGGTCACACTAAAAAGTTTGTTTTTCAATGGTTTAATAGCTGTTACAGGCCATTTGTATTTCATTTGTGCATAATTCTGTATAATTTTCTTGTTTGCAATATACTTTTGAATTTGTATGTTAGAGAAGAATACTGATGTACACCAACAAATCCAAACTTTAATAGTGAAAACAGATCATCTGGCCTTGAAACTGGGCAGCAAAAAATAAATGCCATAGCAGATGATGAATTACACAACTTGATATTAAACTGAAGTAGAACCGATAATATTAGTCTAAAAATTATGTCAGAGCTATCATCTGAGTTGTGATGCATTTTCTTACCAAGTCAAGAAATTTTAATACAGGTTACGGAGGTGGAAAAATTGAACAAAACAGAAAACGAACGAGAGAAAAAATAATTTGTTCTTTCGCTATTGCTTGCAGCAAATGAATTCCACAGGATAATGGCTAACGTCCGCTGAATAATCTCTCTGACGGTCCAGTATAATGTCCGCCATCTTGTTTTGTCTCTTTGGTAGTACCCAGACCCTTGCATCACATATAGATCGCTGGACCCCGCTCGTTTCAACACCCTAGCTTCTTACGCCCTGCACAAAACCCTGTCAGTGTGAACCAGCAATAACAAACTAATCTTCCAAGTACAACTTCACCAGCTGACTCATATTCAGATTCAGGGTAATGATTTTTTTAATCCTCTTTTTTTCTGAGGTGTCATCAATAAACATTCTAAAAATAGTGACAAGGAATTACAACGCCGCGTCACTAATGCCTTTTTGCCGATTTTAGCTACAATTGAGCTAGAATTCCGAATATTTTCGCACAAAAAATGTTTATCCTATCAAAGATGTTATAAATTTCTCACGGCTAAGTGGTTGAGATGCCTTTAAAACATGTTATTTGTTAGCCGGCTTTTGGCTTGCAAACGAAGCGTGCTGTGTCAACTATGTGCAATTTTGGGTTAACAATGACGAGAGACTTTCGCGTCTTTTATGGTCTTTTTTATTGTTTAAGGTAAAGTGCCTCTATTATTCGAGAAACAAAGGTTGCGATTACCGATGCCTAGCCAGATCATCGACCGCGAAATTCAAATCTTCGTAAGCCACCGTAGCGTAACAAGTGCTGACTTAGGGGAGTAGGGTGTGAAGAAAATATACCGTAGAAATGATCTAACAGGAGACGGGTGAGGCTATTTTCAGTAAAAAAGGCTCCTCCCGAAATCTCAGCGCTTCAAATGAGTAAACAAGTTTTAAGGCTCAAATAACTGACAAAGCTAAGACCTAAAAAGAACGTGCTAGATTTCCATGTTACAAGCTGAAGAAAGAGCCAGTGCAAAAGTTGAATACCGAAGTGAAAAGTTTAACATCACTATCAAAGAAAGCCGTATTAGACTAGGACCACGAAAAATTAACGTTAACCTCGGCGGGCCACTTAACATCCCGCAGGTTAAAAAGCACTACCCCGCAGTGGATGTAGTTTCTACATCGACTGCGTCGATGAAATAAAACTAAGCCAACCCACCCAGCTATTTTCCTTAAAGTGCTCAAATTAGCGCCTTTTCACTTTATTGTCTTACTAAACGCTTTCTCTTCAACCCGCGAGTCCCGCTCAGCTTTTAAACCAAGCAACAGCACGCGAAACATTTTTACAGATTAGTTCTTGGTATAACCTTGAAACTACTTCTACAAAATTAGAATCAAACGAGCAAAAGCACGTATTTTTTACTTGAAGCCGTTCTAAATTTGCGCCCTGTCGAGCCAGCTTTGTCTCACGAAAAAGGAGCCACAATCAGTTTGGCTACCGAAGCGTGCCATAGAGTGAAGTGATTTTGACTTTATTCCGTGTGTCTTATTATATCAAGAAAAAACCCTCAATCGTATTTAAGAGTCATCAGCAAATAACCAAGTTTAGGCAATCCATTCGCCACAGTGATTTCGGGGCACGCGAGAAAAAAATAATGGTATCACTCAGTTACGTTTCGGAAAACAACGAAGTCACTCAAACAAGGAAAGGTGCGATAAAGTCAACCTTTTCTCACCAATGGCGACTCTCATTTTAAAATTTTGATAACGATGAGATACTTGTTTATGAGTACCATATTACTGAATCAAGTCAGTAATAGACGCCGGTTTAACAAACTGAGAGATTTTAACTGTATACATATATATTGAAACGGTTCAGCTTTTCGACCCATAAACTGACAATTAACTACTATGCGAGTGTTTCATTCTCCTATTCTCTTAGCAGTAAAAAACTATGAATAGTGTATATAGAATTATGAATTTTCTCCCCTGCCCCTTCCCCCCCAAAAAACAAAGTAATTCATTAAACCCCAATTACTAATGAGCAACCTCCCTCCCTGACTGGCCACCAGTTCAGAAGAACTAAAACAGAAAATGCCCAGAGGGCTGAAAGAGGAAATACCGTTAATTAAAGTTTCTCGTCTCTATCTCGTGTCTGGTAATTTGATCCAAGTTTTCGGGTCCAGTACGTTTTGTATCAATATTCAAACCTCGTGCTGTGGGCGAAATTTTGGAACCTCTTTGTTGGATGATTAGTGTGTTAATTAACAATTATTAAATGAAGCTGAGTATGATTTGAAGGGGGTTAGCCGAGGCGGACCGTCTTCAGTTGTCTCAGTTGCCTGTTTCTCGACAAGTTCAGGATATAGAGGGATGTTCAGTTCTGCAGATCATGAATTCTGCAGATCTTCTCCATTCTTGCTATGATTTTAGGCAATAGTTCAGCTATTTTTTCTTTGCGAAACGTGAAAAAGTTTCCGTCGTTTTGTAATTCTCCACCAAAACAACACAATCTCGATCAAAGGCTTCCCGGTTTTCAGTCTATTTTCTGGCAATTAGGCTGTAGTACTTCTTCCAAATTTGGTCAACGCCAGCTGATTATGAAGAATAAGCCGCGGAATTTGAGCCAATCAGAAAAGAAGAAACTTTTTGAATAAACAATAATTGAATATAATGCCTGATTTTCATGGGTTGATTGCTTAGCAACCATTTTATGAACTTAGTACAGGGTAATTTAAACGTAACGCGAACTGTTAGTAAAATTGCTTTAAAGGCGGAGCCCTTAGTTGACGGATTCTGGTACCGATGGAATCTCGGCTTTTATTGGAGTCAACTTGCAATATCAGTGCAGCATGAAAAGCTATTTTCATCGTTAAATCAAAGCGAAATGCTTATTATAGAAACAAACCCAGATACCTTGTTGTCCATGTCTGTTGCCAGCTTTCTGAGCTCCATCAAAGTGGTGTTTTCCGTTTCGATCTTTTGACATTGTTAAGGTATGAAGTTTCATTATAAATTAAGTACTTCTTATGTTTGTTCTAACTGAATATCAACTAGTGGACCTGTTCAGTGAGTTCCTATGAATTAAAGTCAAGGCTGATCGGACAGCGTAGGATGGGTAATTTATTTTCCCAATATTTCCGTTAAACAAAACTAACCCTCATGAGGGGCTAAAAAGGCTAAGTAAGTTTTTCATCATGAGTAACTTGAAATTTTCCCCAGTATCTGTAAGAAGAATGCTAATTTTAGACGCATTTCTAGCTGTTTCAAACCGCCTAAATATCATATTTCAGCTGACATTTTCCCTACGAACATGGGCCTGCATGCACATCCGTCTACTATATGATTCTCCCACGTCTTACTGTTAAGAAAGAACTGGATGGAGAGAAAACTTGGAAACGACGAGGGATCTATTGATTTACTGGGGGAGGGGGAAAATTGTGCGTACCTCCGGAACTTATTCTGGCTACGCCCCTTATAAAGAGAAGCTGGAGGTGTCACCATGTACAATCAGAATGTAATTAATTACAGGATCAGGTCTAACCTGTCTGATCCTGACTTTCACATTATGTGTTACTAACGAAAACCCAAAGTCAAGCCATTTCTCCTTTCTTCTGTCACTGAAATGGCCTCAACAGTATCCCAGCTTTCTTTAGTTTCCAAGGCATCAAATAAGTTTACTTATAGCTACAGTCTCTAATTCTCTCAATACTTTACTTTGAGAGCTCTTGTCGACATATCAACGGCATTTGGCACCTTAGATAACGAGAAAGGATTTAACAAACACCATTCTGTTTATCAAGCTAAAAAGGGTATTCGAACTTAAACCTCTTCAGAAACAGAAAATTTAATAAAACAAAGATTACAGCGATAACCAGCGTCAAATCTGGAAGAACTTGTGTACGTTTCGGGGCGCCTCAGGGCTCTATCTTCGGATCCCTGATATTCCTTTTATGTATCAATGACTTGCCATATTGTAACTAACTATCCCTTTCTAGAAATTTTGAACTCCAATGACCCTAACCTTGCCTAGGTGTCTAGAAACCCTAAAGAGTTGTTCTCATCCCTAATTCATAACCTAAGCTAGCAATGTGAAACAATGGCTCAATTCACATCGGCGCTCACGCCAAATAACGTAGTAAGCAGTACCTTTTTTTTCATATTTAAGAGATCAACAATAAAGCTACAATAGCATTTGTCGCCCTAGCTTGGGGAACTGAAGCCAAAATGTCCTGAAAGAATTCTCGTAACAAGTTACAAATTGTTGATTCACGATCCCGCCTTATCCCGATACGATGTCTTATCCCGATTATTGTGGAGTTGCGTCTGGGGATTTTGGTGCTGGACTTAGTGAAAAACCTGAAAAATTGCAACTATTGCATTTATGATGTGTGGATCCGGGTGAGATGTCAGATCTGCTCAGATTCTCCGCGACCTCGACTGGATAAGCCTCGTTCACAGACGAGTTTAAACCACAGGATAAACAAGCACTCGAATCATCCTTGTGGAATTTGCAAACTTGAATATCATTCGTAGACATAATCTTCGGGGCCCGCACCAAAAATATTTTCATTCTATGCCAAGACTCTTTACAGAGAGTTTCTGACCTCAGGGTGTTGTCTCATGGAGCAGTTTGTCAGCTGAGGCCTAGCAGGCCAATAGGCTAGTTAACAACTTTTATACTATTAAAAAAAAATTGAAGTTTCAATTACAGAGAACTGCAGAATTGAAACTCGCTGGAATTGCCCTAGACTTGCTACAAGTCGACCTCTTGGCGAGCGGAGCGAGCCTTGTTTGTCCGCGAAGTGACGAAGGACTTTTGGAAAGTCTAGAATCGCCCTGAAACGACCGAAAATGCTAACAACACACCACAAATAATACACTACCTTGAACGAGGCAAACTTTACTTTTTAGGATACCAGTGGCAATTAATCCTAGTTCACTCAATACGGTGTTGAAACCCGATTCATAAAACTCCCTGAGGATAGAAATACGTGTATTGAAGAACTGGCAGAACCTCGCGTAGCTCAGGGATAGAAAGGTGGAAGAGAAATAGGGTAAATCGTGTAACTGGTGAGACTGGGTTTTAAAACAGGGCTAATATTAGAAGCTGTGACATACTCCATGTCCTTTTGGTTGGAGTAAATTCGAACCTAGTCCCCTGGATCTTCTTTCTCTCTTATAGGTTTCAAAGAGGGCTTGTAATCACATTTTATTTGCAATGTAATTTGCTTTTGCTTTGAACGCGAGACATGTTTCAAAGACTTTTTGTAATCATACTCTATGTGGAGCTTTAATCATAACATAGTAAGGAGTATAGCAAGTAGCAAAGGTAAACTATCTTTTGATCATGATGCAGGAATGAAATGAACAAAAGGATACTGCTAATCCTCTATCACACCACGTGATCGCCAGCTTAAACAGATTCAATCTTGTTAAAGCTTTCGCTCCTGAATTAGTGAAAATAGTGTAAATCAGTAAACCTAGAATATTCAGCGACACAAGCCTGCTCCCTTTCTTCAATTCTATCGAAAAAGCGCTTGGCGGGATAAACAGAAAATTATAACTGAAATGTTAAACATAGAAAACTTGATCATGACCGCCACTGTCATAATCAGTCAACATCGCAAAAGGACAATGAAGGGTGATTGCTGATTTCCAGTTGATCAAGTCAGTTCTGTTTTCGTAGTCTCGAGAGTCCTGTGATAGAAATGATGTGACTTTGTGAATTCAGTTATTGATCCTAATTCTAAGCTTCAATTTCATTCTTGCATAGTTTCCAAAAGTTTGAAAAAATTAAGGTAAATGATCAAAGAACGCCGGTTATGGTTTTGAGTTAGAATGTAGTTAAATTCAAACGCTTTCAGCACGTCATAAACTCTGTTCTTGCAGTTTACTTTTATTCCCTCAGTATAAAAGTAAATGGCGTTGCTGTAATCTTCCTTCAAGTACGCTTCATTACCTTTAGTCTTGTAAACTTCTGCTTTAGCTGACAACGAAGCAGATTGAAATGTCGTTAAACCTGAGCGCTATTTCTTTGGGTGTTAATAGTTACCTTATGAATAGCGTAAACCATGACATTAGTCATAGAAATAGGATGTTCAATGAAATGAAATTTAAAAAAAAGAAAAAGGAAGAGAATGAAAGTGTTCAGGACAGAATATGGCTGCTGATCTCCCATCTAGTTACCAACCCCTCCCGTCAGGGTTTGATTTGGGTAGCGCTGTCAATACAAAGGTTTGCAAAGTTTTGTTTGACACTTATTTCTAGAAAGCAAGATTATTTCCTACTAGGTTTTGTCAGTGAAGATGGTCACTACGTAGTAACAGTGATATGAGACTAAATTTTCTGTTTAACACGCCAAAAAGGGAGTCGTACATGATTTTGGTGATCAACAAATAACAGTAGTGAATGTCTTTACCTTTCAATGTGTCGTCATCAAAGTCCAATGATTGCCCTGAACTAAGTGCCGCAACATCAGTCTCACTTGCTGCTCCGATTCCACTTTGCGTCATGTTTGCAATGATCTGGTGAAAAATCAAAATGGAACAACGCTATCAATTGATGAAATTCTGTCGCCCTGCATTAGCATGGGTGACTATCGCTCAATTTGCCATGCGTGGTTCTTTCCACTTAATGATAAAAAAATTCAAACGTAACACTACTTGTCGAACATTATCCAACAGAATACCTTCAGTTGCAGGCAGGAAGATCTTGAAACGCACTGAGATATTATTACATAATGCAGCAGTGCATGAAACTATTTCCACAGTAAACCCAATGACAGGCACACCACCTTGTGAGCCAGCAATAACAAACTAACCTTCAAACAACCTCACCAGTTGACTCAAATTCAGATTCAGGGTAATGATTTTTTTTATTCTTTTTTTTCTGAGGTGTCATCAATAAACATTCTAAAAATAGTGACGAGGAATTACACTGCCGCGTCACTAATGCGTGACAGCACCTCAGCTCAGCCCTGAGGAACATATTGTGTTATTTTCCTATAAAAGAAACTCGCTTCGTTATTTGCAGTAGCTGTCGTGATGAAGTCTGCTTTCCACTGAAAGATATTCGGCAGCTATGTGAATGATAATCCAATAATAAACGAAGTAGAAATAAACGCATGCGCAATAAGTATAGAGTGGATAATGTTGCCGAGCACTGTAACACAATTAAAAAAGAAAAGCGGCAAGTAAGACTATACCAAGTCAAAAATCGACCCAAATATTAAAAATACCGCATCTTACATGTTTAGCCGGATACGGCAATATGACAAAATACCGCAAAATAGTCCACGTGAAAAATTACCAACACCGCAATACCGCAAACTTTCTCATTCTAATGGTTAAAAATATAATATACCAAAAGTCTACGATGGTAAATCCCCAAACCCCCGGGTTACAAATGACCCACCAGTAGAAGGGGGAGTGGAGCCAGTGCTATGCCCCTCTTTTCCCTCCCTTCTCAAAAGGGGAAAAAAAAAGAACGGGGCTTGTACCGTGAGCAAAAGCAAAAGTGCCTAACAGATGCCCGGAGGAATTGTCACCCTTGTGGCTTTCATTTAGTCGAGACGAGCAAAAACAGAACGGGGACAGCGAAGAAATTCTCTCTCTCTTCCCCCGCCCCACTTCCCCCTCTTCTCTCTCTCTCTGTACCGAGAGCCTGGAACAGCCCATCACCCTTGGAAACAACTGACTATATTTAGTTGTTTGCAGGTGTTTTCACCGAAGTTGAGGGTATTTTGGCTTTGGCTTGCAGGATTCTTCGTTTTCGAGTTGAGGTTATTTCGGTTTCGAACTGAAGATGCTTGGTTCTTTTTATAATTGAGATTGGTTCTTTTTGCTATTTTTAGGTCGTTTTGATATTGTATCGCTTTCTATAAACTGTAGTACGTCACAAGTAATGGTTTTAACTATCTAATTAAGAAATCTTTGATGGCTTTCGGTAAAACAAGTACTGTTTTTGTTCGAACGCAGAGCGCACGCGCGATAGCTGAAATTAAAACTACAATTAAACTAAGATTTAAAAATATTGAAATACAGTGAGAAAAAGTTATCTTACACGGAATAAGCGAAGGTAGTATTTGCTGAACTGATTTTTGAGTGGGAAGCTTGTCCGTCTTGAGACTTGGAAAACCCTTCTAAAAAACTGAATACGAGTAAAATTCTGTGTTCAGGATTTTTCCGACTGCTTTGGCGCTAAAAAACTAACAAGTCATGCGGAATCTTTTCACATTGTTTGTTCGAGAATGAGCCCATTGAATTGGACAATCAGCATGGATTTGTTTTCTTTACTTTATGGGGAAAGAGCAAAACTAAACCAGCACTGGGTTTTGGGAAAGAAAACATCACGCCCAAGAAGGCCTTGACTGCGAAGTGAAACAGGCAAAAACAAGATTTATCGATCAAAAACAGTTCGGACAGTTTCCTCAGAAGGTCATCCAAAATTCGCGGACGACGTCCGACTTTATTTATTTTTTTTAATTATACCGCGATCGGAAACGATGACCAGAAAGATTAGATACTATCAGTTAGTTTAAGATAAGCAAAGTCAAACAAATTTTCTGGCTTGTCTTACTAGAACAGTCACCCGATCGGTCATAATTCCTTTCTAAAACGAGAAATTATTTACAGGCCTAGGCCTGTAGTTTCTGGGCCCACTGATGGATACAATCATGGAAAATATATGTCAATTATAAGGCCATAAAAGAGCAAGAAACTTGACGAAAACCCTACTAAATAGTGTCGCTTTTCGTTAAGGTGCAGAATAACATCGCATCGAACAACATTCTTTGGCACAGTGGGCCGGAAGAAAACCATTCACTTATTTAAATAAGCTATTTAACCGGACAGCAGGCTGGTCGTTTTAAGTCAACTAATTTAGCCTACCTGTAATCTCACGAAGGCCAGAAATCTCTGATTCGTTTCAGTAAAATAATTGTTCTCTCAGCCGTACCTTGATACGATGATATGAAAAGGGCGTCAAGTCAACTGAATAAATAGTCAATGGATAATCATGTGATCAAAAGGACACCACGCAATAGGATAATTTATTTTTTGAAAATGTTCGTGGTACGATGACATCCAGTCTAAAAATATGTTTTATTCATAGAAAATAGGCCACGTAAAGTAATGTGACGTAAGGTAGTGGAATTATTTCGGGAAAATTTGTTGGATGACAGCCAGTAGAAAATAAAACGTAATTACTCGTCAATTTATACCATTACACACAAAGGATAAACGGGTAATTAAAAATTGGCGACCTATATCGCTAATCAACGTTGATGCGAAAATTATTTCTAAAGTTTTAGCGAAGCGCCTGGAAAAGGTCTTGCCAAATTTAATACATCCCAGTCAGAATGCATTTGTTAAAGGTAGGTCCATATTTGACGCAATTA